ATGTGTGCTTGCAGCCGTTTCTGTATTTCCTTTAGTAAAACTTTACTCGCATGGGATATCAAAGATACTGTTCGATGATTTCCGCATTCCGCACCTTAGACTTCTTCGTTCGGTACCAGTGGCTCTTGATCATATGCTACCTCTTGAAATGGTTGAACATCAACCATTTCCTTTTGGTACAGTGACTCTCTGTATTCCTTCCATCTTCTTTTGATGCTTTCTGCATCATTCAGTAATTTGCCTAAAGAATCCTTCAGTAAGAAAAGTCAGGGCTTGAATGTTTTCTTCAGTCCCCCAGCCTGAGAAGTGCTGAGCGTGGTCTTCCTTTTGGTTTGGTTTGGGTTTGGTTTTCTGACTGCAGATTTTTGTATATTTTGTTGTAGTATTTGGCTTTATCTTCTCGAGCTGACCTTTGAAATTTTGTTTTACCTCCTCATTTCTTCCATTTGCATTAGCATCTCTATGCTAGACAGCAAGTTTCAGAGTCTCTTCTGACATCCATTTTGACCTTTTCCTTCTTCCTTGTCTTCTTAATGACTTCTTGCTTTCTTCATGTATGATGTTCTTGATGTCATCCCACATCTCTTCTGGTCTTTGTCATTAGTATGTAATTTATCAAATCTGTTCTTCAGATTATCTCTAAATTCAGGTGGGGTATATTCAGGATCATATTTTGACTCCTGTCTATTTGTTTTCATTTTTTTCAGCATTAGTTAGTTTGAATTTGCATATGAACAATTGATGCAAATCTGTCCCTGGCCTTATTTTGACTGATAAGTAGCTTTTCCATCATCTCTTTCCGCAGATATTGTCAATTTGATTTCTGTGTATTTCATTTGGTGAAGTCCATGTGAATAGTTGTCTCTTATGCTGTCTAAAGAAGGTATTTGAAATGAACAAAAATCATTGATTTTGCAGAATTCTGTCATGCGATCTCCAGCATCATTTCTATCACCAAGGCCATATTTTCCAACTACTGATCCTTCCTCTTTGCTCCCAACCTTTGCATTCCAATCACCAGTAATGATCGATACATCTTGATTGCATGTTTGATCAATTTCAGATTAAAGAAGTTGGTAGAATTCTTCTGTTTCATCCTTACTGGCTTTAGTGGTTGGTGTGTAAATTTGAATAATAGTGGTATTAACTGGGCTTCCCTGTAGGCACATGGATTCTATTCTATCACAGATAGCATTATACCTCATGACTGATCTGGATATGTTCTTTTTGACAATGAATCCAACACCATTCCTCTTCAATTTGTCATTTCTAGCATAGTAAACCATGTGGTCATCAGATTCAACATGACCAGTACCAATCCATTTCAGCTCACTATTGCCTAAGATATTGATATTTATGCATTCCGTTTCATTTTTGACAACTTCCAGTTTTCCCAGAGTCATACTTCATACATTCCATGTTCCGATTTTCAGTGGATGTTTACAGCTGTTTCTCTTCATTTTGAATTGTGCCCCATCAACAGATGAAGGGCCCACAGGCTTTTCTCCCATGGACTTTACTCCATTCACGTCATCATGGTCAACTCTACTTTGAGGGGGCAACTCTTCCTCAGTCAGATTTTGAGTGCCTTCCAACCTGGGGGGTTCATTTTCCAGCACTATATCTGACAGTGTTTTTCTGCTATTCATTAGGATTTCAGTGACTAAATATTCAAAAGTAGTTTGTCACTCCTTCTTCCTAGTCTACCTTCATCTGGAAGCTCTTCTGAAACCTGTCTACCATGGGTGACCCTGCTGGTATTTAAAATACCAGGGGCATAGCTTCCAGATCACAGCAACTCACAAGCACCCACAGTACGACAAAGTGACAGGACGAGTTGTAGAATACATCTATGGAACATGAGATTTTGTGTTTTATCCAAAAAGTTGATGGGCATTAGAAAGCTGGGAATTACTGCTTTGGGAGTGAAACCATTTTAAGAGAAGAAAATTTTGTTTCTTTGTTTCTTTTTCTAATACTTTTATTTTAGTGTTAAGCCAAGCATTTCTAAGCCAAGAGCAAACATATTTACGGCCCTAGGAATAAAACTGAAAGATTTTAGTGGCATTTTCTGGTAAAACTTCAGGTCACAATATCTTCCAGAATGGTCACCTAGCTCATTGGTTCTCTGCTGAACGTGATTTTGTCCCATTCTCGCCTCCAACCCACCCTGGGATTTTTGGGCTACAATTATAAGCATTTTTAATGGTTGGGAGTAGAAGCCAGGGATATCACCAAGTACACTGCACAGAACAGTCCACCACAAATCAATATCCTGCCCAAATATCAGAGCACCACTGTTGAGAGACCTTGTTCTAACCCAAACGGACTTGTAAGGAGACATAGTCTAACGTCTCATCCTGGATGGAGCTAGTGGCAAACCCAGGAAGAACGAATGTCTCCTGAATTCCAGACCAGGTTTTTGCTCCAGCCCAGCCTCTTCTCTGGCCTCCCTGTCCTTTCTCCACAGAGAGTGCCTCTGGGCTTAGAGGATACCTCCTTTGGGTGTGGGCTTACAGTCTGTGGAATGTGGGGGGATGGGCAGGGAGTGATAGTGTGGAAGGGGATCTTGTTTTTTATGCAAACGCCACAGTGAACAAACCATTTCCTTCTAGGAAATTGCTTACTACAGCAAGCAGCTGGAGCAGGAAATGAGGCAGCAGCTCTTTTCCTGGCAACAAATGGTGCCCAGGTCAACCACAGAAACAAGTGGGTAAGTGTGATGAAAAATCCAGGGGAAATGGTTTTGGTCTGTGGGAGAATACAGAGGGGATTCTTTTTTCAATTTTTGGAAAAATAATACATTCACATTGGTAAAACCCAAAGTGAGACAGAGTCTTGTGTATCCTCAAATATTAATTGACTGGTTCTATCCTAGTTATGAATCTTTACCCGCATCTGGGAGCTTCATAGTGTTTGGACCTCTTCTACTGGAGACCTCATCTACAAAGTTAAAAATATCATGCTGAATATTAAGTCCTAAACAAGAGTAAACACAAGACAAACATATATCACCCAAGTGAGGGAAATCATAGATGTCATGATGAGTTTCCAAGGTTCTCTCTCCGTGTGGTAACTTACATAGGACCCAAGGAATACAGCAATCTCCTCCAACCACCAGGACAGCCACGTATCACAGATACTTACAGAAAGCAGGGAGGGGACAATTGCAGGTAGTAGGAAAGTATAGTCTGAGACTCCGAGATATGTCTAGGAAGGGTCCTCTCAGGTATGACTGGAGGAGTTGGACCCCAAACCTATGTTTAAAGATAGTAGCTCTGGCAGTTTAGCTGTCAGAGTGCATGAGGGACTCAAGAGAAAATTGGTATCTGAACACTTAACCTAGACACAAGATGGAATTAAGCTTTGCTAGACTGGAGTCGTTCACAGGCTCCAGATTTCATGCTTTACAGCAAAAGGGCACACACTCCATTTCTGGTTCTTCTTTCTTGGGGATAGTACCGTTTACGTTCTGCTTGCCTATTTAATTAATCTCTCTTGTCTCTCCAAAGAGATTGACTCAAGGTACAAATTAATCTCTTAGATTACATCTGGCCTCATTAGCATCAGGATTCACAACACATAGAATAATGACAATGAGCTCGGGCGCATGTCATCTTTGTTGTTAGGTGCGGTCAAGTTGGTTCCAACTCATAGTGACCCTCATACACAACAGAAAGGAACACTGTCCTTCCTGCGCCACCCTCACAATTGTTGTTACACTTGAACCCATTGCTGCCGCCACCATTGTCAAGTCAGCTCATTGGGGGCTTTCTCTTCCATGACCCTTCACTTTACCAGGCATGATGTCCTCCTCTAGGAATTGATGCCACGTTCTTAGTACAATCCAGCTTCTCAGATTATTTGCTCAGCATACAGATGGAGTAAGTATGGTGACAGAATGCACAACCTTTCCTGATTTTAAACCTGCTTGAACAACTGCCTCTTGGTCTCCGTACAGGTTCCTCATCAGACAATTAAGAGTCCTAAAATGTCCTTTCTTCACAGTGTTGTCCACAGCTTGTCATGATCCACACAGCCAGAAACCTGTGTATCATCAATATAGTACAATTAAACCTGTGTATCATCAATAAAGTACAAATAAATCTTTCTTGTATTCTGTTTTCAACCAAGATCCATTTTCCGTTAGCATGTCCCTCATTTCTCCTCGTCTAAATGCAGTTTGTACCTCGTCTAAATCCAGTTTGATGTACTGTTGCAGCTGTTTTTGAATTATCTTGAGCAAAATTTTACTTGCATGTGATATTAATGATATTATCTGATGATTTCCACATTCAGTTGGGCCACCTCTCTTTGTAATGGGCTCAAATATGGATCTCTTCCAATCAGTTGGCGAGGTAGCTGTCTTCCACATTCCTTGGCATATCTGAGTAAGTGCCTCCAGTGCTGCATCAGTATGTGGGAAGATTTCATTCAGTTCCTGGAGTTTTGTTCTTTGCCAGTACCTTCAGTCCATTCTTCCTTCAGTACCATTGACTCTTGATCATAAACTACCTCTTGAAATGGTTGAACATTGACCGGTTCTTTTTGAATCAATGATTTGGTGTATTCTCCCTTCCTCCAGGCTCCTTGGATCTAGGCTCCCTCTTGAAAGCTTGTAAGCCAGTCACTTCTTGCCTTTGTAGCCCCCACCCCCACCCCCCATTTTGGGTAGCCAATGTCCAAGTTGCCCATCCCTGTCTACTCTGTGTGTGGAGGGGGTGGGAATGATTCTTGCTGTAAGGATTTGTTCCCTCTTTTGAGCTACTGCATCCATAGGTGTAGGTCAAGTGCATCAAATTGTATCAGATTACTCTTTTTTTTTTCCTCTTCTTTCTTCTTCTAGTTGAGCTCTGATCATCCAGTCATTGAAGCCAGGTCAAGTGGGTATTATCTGCAAGTGTGGGTGTTCTTGTTCATATTCTTTTTATGCTTTCGGCATCATTTAGTATTTTCCCCCATGGAATCTTTCAATATTGCAGCTTGAGGCTTGAATTTTTTCTTCAGTTCTTTCAGCTTGAGAAATGCTGAGCGCCTTCTTCCCCTTTGGTTTTCTAATTTCAGGTCTAATACTGCTTTGTCTTCTTGAGCGGCACTTTGCAGTTTTCTGTGTAGCTCTTTTACCCCTCATTTCTTCTTTTTGCTTTAGTATTTCTATACTGGAGAGCAAGTTTCAGAGTCTCTTCTGTCATCCATTTCCATCTTTCCTTTCTTCCGTCTTTTTGACCTTTTGCTTTCTTCTGTATGGAGTTCTTGATGTCATCCCACAACCCTCCTGGTCTTTGATGCATCAAATCTGTTCTTGAGATAATCTCTAAATTCAGGTGGGATAGATTCAAGGTCATATTTTGGCTGTCATGGACTTGTTTTAATTTTTTTCAACTTTAGCCTGAACTTGAATATGAACAATTGATGATCTTTCCCTAGCCCTGTTTTGGCTTTTGATTTTGGGCTTTTCTACCGTCTTTTTCCACAGATGTAGTCAATTTGATTTCTGTGTATTCCTTCTGGAAAGATTCATATTAATAATAGTCATCTTTTATGATGTTTAAAAAAGACATTTGCAATGAATGAAGTTATTTGTCTTGCAAAATTCTATCATGCAAGGGTTCTAACTGGTTTGGGGCTTCCAGTGCTATAAAAACTTTATAAAGCCCCTGGAGCTGGAGCAGTGTGAAGTAGAGGCAAGAACGACCCTGGGAGAACGACCCCTGGAGTGACCAAAGCTCTAGCATAGCCACATCCCTGCCTCCAGCGCCTACGCCCCGCCACCGAAGCCACCGTGCCCAAGAGAAGGCTGAAGGGGATGCTAAGGGAGATAAAGCCAAGGTGAAGGATGAGCCTCAGAGGAAATCCGCAAGGTTATCTGCTAAACCTGATCCTCCAAAGCCAGAGCCACAGCCAAAAAAGGCCCCCACAAAGAAGGGAGAGAAGGTACCCAAAAAATCCCCCACAAAGAAGGGAGAGAATGTACCCAAAAAGGCCCCCACAAAGAAGGGAGAGAAGTTACCCAAAGGGAAAATGGAGAAAGCTAATGCTGGCCAGGATGGGAGTAACCCTGCAGGAAATGGAGATGCCAAAACAGACCAGGCACAGAAAGCTGAAGGATCTGGGGATGCCAAGTGAAGTGTGTGCACTTTTGATAATTGTGGACTGCTGGTGACTGTACAGTTTGAAATACTATTTTTATCAAGTTTTATAAAAACGTAGAATTTTGTTTTACCTTTTTTTTTTTAAGCTATGTTGTTAGCACACAAAACACTTCATTGTTTTTTGAGAACGGGGAAAATGTCACTAATAGAGTGTCTCCAAAGCTGGATTGATGTGGCAACAAGCACCTTTCCCGTCTAGTTTGGAGAGACTCCCTCTTGGTTCCCAGGAGGACAGGGATTCCCTGACGTTAACACACATTAGCTACCTTGGCGTACAAATGCTGTGTGGTGTGGGAAAAGTACAATTTGTTTTTACATCTTCATATCCTCTTCGTCCTCTCTGCCTTCAGCATAGACTTGACTCCCATAAACCCAGAGACCTGTTGGGACCTGACCTCAGAGAACTGGTTATTCATGTGTCAGGCAACCTGGACTTTCCACTGGTGCCAACTCAGCAGCACCCCTCAAAAGAGCAGGGGTCCTTTTGTTTAGGTTGTAGGTCTTCAGATTGGTCATTCTGCTTTTTTCATTTCATTTTCTGAAAGTCAGGGTTGACTCATGAAAAGTTGTTAAACAACATGCTAAATGTGAAATGTCGACCCTCACTCTAAACTTTCCCTGTTCAGACCATCAGATGAAGACTTCATTGAGTTTTATAGTGGCTTTCTGATTTGGGTAGTCCATCAAAGAAGGGGTTTGAAAGTTGTTGGTTACCGTTAACAATTGTCTGTCCATGTCCTGCGTTAATACCATGATTATTTATGAGAAGTGTCTTTAGTAAAGCTGGATACAGTTTGGCTTAGGGAAAAAAAAATTCTATCATGCAATCTCCAGCATCATTTATATCACTAAAGCCGTATTTTCTAACTACTGATCTTTCCTCTTTGTTTCCAACCTTTGCATTCCAATCGCCAGTAATTATCAATACATCTTGATTGAATGTTTGATCAATTTCAGACTGAAAAAGTTGGTAGAATTCTTCTATTTCATAATCACTGACTTTAGTGTTTTTTGCATAAATTTGAAAAATGGTGGTATTATGTGTTCTTCCTTGTTGTTGTGAAGTGCCATTGAGTTGGTTCCGACTCATAGCGACCCTGTGTAGGGTTTCCAAGGAGCAGCTGGTGAGCTTGAACTGCCAATCTTGCAGTTCAAACGGTTTTGCAGTTTGGTGCATTAACCCACAGCACCACACCAGGACTCTGTTCTTTCTTGTAGGTGTATGGATATTATCCTATCACAGACAGCTTTGTATTTAAAGATCTTAAAATGTTCTTTTTGATGGTGAAGGCGACATCATTACTCTTCTGTTTGTCACTCCTGGCATAGTAAACCATATGACTGTCATATACAGAATGGCCAATACCAATCCAGTTCACATCACTAAATGTCTGAATGGAGTCCTGGTGTGGCGCTGTAGCATAAATGCAGGACCACACGGTCAGTTTGAACACAGCGTCAGTTGTTCAAACTCACCAGCCGCTTGCTCCTTGGAAACTTTATACAGGGTTGCTATGAGTCAAAACCTAATTGATGGCACCTAACAACAATGCATTGTTGTTGTTGTTAAGTGTGTTGAGTTGGTTCTGACCCACAGTAACCCTGTATAGGGTTTCCGAGGAGCAGCTGGTAAGCTTGAACCGCCGACCTTGCAGTTCAAACGGCTTTGCAGTGTGGCTCATTAATCCACAGCGCCACACCAGGACTCCACAACAATGCATAGGGTATTGATATTTATGCATTCCATTTCATTTTTGACAACTTCCAATTTTCCTAGATTCATGCTTCATACATTTCATGTTGCAATTATTGATGGGTATTTACAGCTGTTTCTCTATATTTTGAGTTGTGCCCATCAGAAAATGAAGGTGCTGAAAGCTTTATTCCATTTGCATCATCACGGTCAACTCTTCTTTGGGGAGACAGCTTTCCCTAGTCGTGTTTTGTGTGCCTTCCAACCTGAGGGGCTCATCCTCGAGCATTGTATCTGACAGGATTCGGGTGCTATTCGTGTTTTCATTTTCTGGTACTGTATCTGACAGTGTTCCTCTGCTATTCATAAGGTTTTGAGTGGCTTAACGTTCAGAAGTGGTCTGTCTCTCCTTCTTCCTAGTCTGGAAGGCCAACGGAAACCTGTCTACCATGGGCGGCTCTGCTGGTATTTAAAATACTGGTGGTCTCGCTAACAGCATCACAGTAACACACAGGCCACCACAGTATGACAAACTGACAGACGAGTGGACAAACTGACATCACTTCACAAGGGTGATTATAGCCTACTAGATTTCATTGAGCTCACAGACCTGCAAAGAAGTGACTTGAAAGAATGCAACAGTTGCACTAGAGAAGGATCTAGAATGCTGGCTTTAAGGATTGGGGGCTGTAACCTGTAGGCAGACATACGAACAGTTTGAGAAAGCTGCCTGGGATGGCTGGTACAAGAGCACACCATTGAGGGCCAGGCTGGAGTTGGGGGTTGGAGGGTTCCCCTAGACTGGCAGTGAGGTATCCTGACCTCTGACCCTGAATTTGGAGCCAAAGGGACAGATGCAGACTAAGTGAGAAGGTGCAGTCAGTAGGATGTGCTGCTGTCAGAAATGAAAACTGTTGTGATCCAGCCTTTAAAAGAAAACGGCAGCTGGTCAGGAGAAGTGCTATAGATGGATGGTGGTGCCGATTCTGACTCATAGCCACCCTGCATAGGGATTCCGAGGCTGTAAACTTTCATGGGAGCAGAAAGCCTCATCTTTCTCCTGTGAAATGACTGGTAGTTTCAAACTGCTGACCTTGAGGTTAGCAGCCCAACTCGTAACCACTACGCTCCCAGAGCTCCTTGATGATGTAGAGGGAGTGAATTCAGTGTTGTGATTGTTTAGCTCCTTTGTAAATATTCAGGCAGGATTGTGGAGCAGGGAAAACTGGATGGCAGCACAGGGCAGTGACCTGGGTGTGAGACTGTCCGTCTGAGAGGAGCCTGGTGTTAGAGAAGCACCCCCAGTGGGGCCATGTGGGGAGAAGGGCTGGAGCAGAAGGCGTCTGTGAAGACAAAGTCGTGACAGTTCTTACAACTATGATGTAGCTCTGGGGGCAGCGAGGGCATGATGGGTAAACGTGCAAAGGAATAAAAGAGAAATTATCTTCTTAAATAATGCCTAAAGCTGAGAAATCAAGAGTCAGCAGTAAAAACTCATTAGAAATATGCAGAGTACAAAACTAAGCTGAAAGAGAGAGTTCAAAGTGATTCTCTTCTTTGAAAGGAAAAATGTTTGCAGGGGAGAGGTGGAGACTCACTCTATTTACAATAAGCCTTGTAGAAACTCTGACTCTTTAAAAGACGTTGTTGTTGTTAAGTGCCGTCGAGTCGGTTCCGACCCATAGCGGCCCTGTACAGGGTTTCCGAGGGTGTAAATCTTTACGGGAGTAGAAAGCCTGATCTTTCTCCTGCGGAGCAGCTGGTAGTTTCGAACCGCTGACCTTAAGGTTCGCAGCCCGATTTGTAACCACTACGCTACCAGATAACAGTGGGTTCAGTTTGTTTCCATTGGTTTGGATGTGTGTGGAAAAGGAACAACTGTGTGTGTGTGTGTGTGTGTGTGTGTGTGTGTGTAGATGCATGCTTTTACACGCATACATGCATTCTGTGTATGTTTTTCTGTGCATGGTCTGTCATTGGAGAGGATCATGGAACTGGTAGAACTGTCCCCTTTGAAGGAGAATTGGGTGGTGGGGGCTACACACGAGAGTAGGATTTTATCATCTTGTACCTGTTGAGTCTTGCATCAGGTATCTGTGAAACCCATGAAAAGTTGTAAAAAGCGGGCTGGGAAGACTGCCCTGATTAGGGTTCAGGATGAGGTTGAAATGAGCTGTCAGGGGCTTGTGGGGAGTTACCAGGCAGTGAAGGTCACACTCCTAACACAGCCTGCTCTGGGGCTGTGGTCTCTGCATTTCCTGTAACACTTATTTGGTGACACTTGGTGGTTGGTCTGTTGTCTTTCTCTTGTTTTTGATAGTATCTATTACGTTTGTATTTAGACAAAATAATTTTACAAAGTGAAGAGGATCTAAAGATGTTCTAGGAGATGAAAAAGAAGGGAAGCCAGGGCATTTGGCAGGTGCTTGGGAAGACACTGAAGAAACTAAAGATGATGTCACAGGGGGCGGGGTGAAAGCCGTGGAGCTTGGCTGTGACAGGATGGACCGTGGGCCGTGGTGACACTGGAGACCCAAGCCTCAGCACTTCTGTTGTCCCGTGTCCCACTGAGAAGGGAACTCCCAGCCTGGGAGTGCTCAGACGTGGCCATTTGTTTCCTGTGCAGGGAGAAACCCCGTTACACACAGCCTGTCGGCATGGTCTGGCCAACCTCACCGCAGAGCTCCTACAGCAGGGAGCCAACCCAAACCTACAGACAGAGGAGGCGCTGCCTTTGCCAAAAGAGGCTGCATCCCTGAGCAGCTCAGCGGACAGTGTCTGTCTGCAGACGCCGCTGCACATGGCGATCGCTTACAATCATCCAGATGTGGTGTCTGTCATCCTGGAGCAGAAAGGTAGGAGTCTGGAGGTCTTGTCAGGCAGCTTGACTGCGGACAGCACTTGTCAGTGGGTCAATCCTCAGCTGCTGTTTGTTCCACTGGTAAGCTTGGCATAACGTATACTAGAGTCTGTGTGCTTTCTGGTGTGTTTGCAGAATGAGGCCTGTCCATTTTACCGGTTCAGTAAGATATAAAAAGTTAGACCTTTTGACTCTACTGTTTAGTTGGGGGTAGGTATTTTTGCAGGCCATTTTAGTGTAGATCTGGCTAAACCTCTGCATTGGTGTGAGCATTGCCTTTAGAACTCTCTTGAGGCAGGTCCTCCCTGAGTCGGTCAGTCCTCTCACCTGCCTGTGAGTCCACTTCTGAAAGGAGCCAAGGAGACAGCCTCAACTTGTCCCCTTTCCTGCCCTGAAATGGGTTTTCTCTTCTTATCTAAATCTTGGTTAAAAGAAAGCCTAGTGATGCAATGATTACGTGATTAGCTGCTAACCAGAAGGTCATCAGTTCAAACCCTCCTGCAGCCCCTTGGGAGGAAAATGTGGCAGTTGTCTCAGGATTGACAGCCTTGGAAACCCTCTGGGGCAGTTCTGCTGTGTCCTACACAGTCTTAGAGTCAGAGTGGACCAGACAGCAATGGGTAAATCTTTGTTGAAGCCAGCACTTTTAGCACTGTGCATGCTAAAAGAGAGGAAGGGAGGTTAAGCAGAATGTGCCCATTTCTTGACCTCACGGGAGATGTACAACCTTAAAGATTCTGTCTTGGGAACCATCTTCAGGGCATTGTTTTCACTCTTTAATCTTTTAAAAGATTCTTTTTCCCCATAAGCTTTGCTCCAAAAAATTCGGTTCCTGGCCTTCCATTCACTAACCACAAGGTTGGTGGGTTCTCTGTATAGAAATGACCCATCACAGCCGCCAGTCAGAGTTAAACTGAGCTCCTGTTCTCTGGAATGCTCTAAATGGGACCTGCGGTGATGAAATCAAGTATTCTTCTCCTTTTCACATTTTAGCCAATGCTCTTCATGCCACCAACAACTTGCAGATTATTCCAGACTTCAGCCTCAAGGATTCCCGAGACCAGACTGTCCTCGGACTGGCATTATGGACTGGTAAGGCCGTACCAGAGGGGGGGTTGTTGATGTCTGCAGACACCCACTTGTTGAGAAGGGCAGGTGGGAGAGAGAGACAGAGAGAAAGTATATGTGAGATGGAGGGGTTAGGACCAGCCTTCTGTTGTAAAAGAACCTGTTTGCTTGGGGCTCAGCTTGAAATCTCCATGGAAATGTTGCCAAGTTGTAACGGTGTGTGTTAGTTAGATGCTGAGAAAGTGGTCACTGAGCACGAGTGACCCAGAGCCTGTTTGTTTCTCAGGTGTGCACACGATTGCAGCCCAGCTTCTGGGCTCGGGGGCTTCCATCAATGACACCATGTGTGATGGGCAGACTCTGCTGCACATGGCCATCCGGCGGCAGGATAGCAAAAGCGCCCTCTTCCTCCTGGAGCACCAGGCGGATATAAACGTCAGGTAGGATGAGGCGGCACTGGCCACGGTCATGCTTAACTGAGAAGCTTCGAGAGCATAGCTTTGCTTGGAGGCAATATCTGTGTTCCTCATTAAAAGAAGGAAGGTGAACAATCGCACTGAAAAGAGTACATGAGGCAGTGTTTGTTGTGTTGTAAGTGTCCGTCAAGTCGGTTCCGACTCATATTGACCCTGTCTAGGGGTTGTGAATAGTATGTGATGGGTTTGAACTGCCAACCTTGTGGTTCGCAGTCCTGTGCTGCTCCTGCTCCACCACAGCTGGAGGCCAGTGGAGTGGCTGAATGCAGTCAGTAGACTCATGAGGTGGAGGAGCAGTGCACAGTGTCACACACACCTCATATGAAGGACAATCCAGAATCAGTTACACAGGTTTTTCCCTTGTAATGAACATTCTAACAGATTAGCACACCACGAGGTTCAAGGAGGGAACTACCCAGAGATGCAATTTTCCTGTGATTGCTTTTCATCTCCTGTGTTAAGTGACCCTGGATGGCTGAGTGGATAGAAAATGTGTTCTGTCAAATGGGCAGTTGGGGTGGTATCTTTTTAAGAAGCTGTTAAAAGCAGCTGCATGTCGAGTGTGGTCACTTCTCTTCTGAGTGCTGTATTTTTAAAGGTACATGGGACGGATTAATTTCTTCATGGAGGAGAAATGTGGAGGAGCATGAGTTAAGTTTGGTTAAGGGACACAGTGCAGTGCACAGGAAGCTTCAGCTACAAACATTGCCTTTGGTTTTGTGTGCATGTCCCAACAGGACGCAGGACGGGGAGACAGCCCTTCAGCTGGCCATCAAAAACCAGCTTCCGCTCGTGGTGGACGCCATATGCACCCGGGGAGCTGACATGTCGGTGCCGGACGAGAAAGGGAATCCTCCCCTGTGGCTGGCTTTGGCAAACAACCTGGAGGACATCGCATCCACTCTGGTGAGACAAGCTCCACTCTAGCCTTTGTTTATACAGGGGAGTATTTTGTGACAGAGACGGATTTGGTGCCTGTGTGGCGACCACAAGTGGAGGTGAACTGGAAAAAAAAAAACAACAACCCAAAGTCACCACCATCAAGTGAATTCCCATTCATAGCGTCCCTGTAGAACTGCAGGTCGTCATGGCAGCCTCATCTCTCTCCCGAGGAGCTTCTGGTGAGGCTGACCACGGTTAGCAGCCCAACACATAACCCACTAAAGGGGCAAGAGATCAAGTAACCAACTGGGTCAATGATGAGAAGCTGAAAGTCACGTTAACGAAACGTGCAGTTCAGAATGGGGCTTTGGGCTGCCTGTATTTAGAAGACTCTGCAGGAGACCTGAGGCAGTTTCCATTCATCTTCTGGCGGCTTAGTTTGTATAGGTTGTCCTCACTATTGCTATAGTGAAAAGTTCTCAAATCTCAGGTTTGTACTCAGGTCCCCAAAGTGGAGGGTAGCCTGGAATTTCTCATTTAGCTTTCTGAAGGACCTGCAATGTGACATTAGGCATTTTGCTCCTGGGAGTTTTTGCCCACTTGCTATTGAGGTTACCTGTTAATTAGGGGTATGTGTTACTGGAAGTCTGGGGTTGCATGTTCCCACATACATGAGTGCATTTTTGTCCCTTATAGAACACAGCTCTGAAGAGCACTAGTGAGACACATCTTAGTGATGTCTCCCAGCTCCTCCCATAGGACTTGGTGTAAGAACTTGCTTAGAGCAGTTTTAATTAGTGTTTGTAAAACAAATGAGTGGCACAGATTAAAGCAATTATCAGCAAATTATCAACTGTCTCTTGCCTGAAAATGGATCTAATGAGGTACGTAGAGCTGAGAGGGGTGATACAATTGCTGTCTTTGCCAGGCAGAGTCTGAAGGGAACTTGTGTTTCTGTGCAGGTCAGACATGGTTGTGACGCCACGTGCTGGGGTCCAGGACCTAGTGGATGCCTCCAGACCCTCCTGCACAGAGCCATTGATGAAAACAACGAGCCCACCGCCTGCTTTCTCATCCGCAGGTGTGGAAGCCCAAGTATCTCTTTTGAGTCTTTGAGGTCAGATGATTGCAGACAGGCTCTTCTCTCCTTTAAGGCCCCCTCCCTGCAGTCTGCCCATGCCTGTAGCTGCCGTGAGTTCAAACTTAGACTGTTGGAGGTCGCTGTCGACTTAGCAAAGCACCAGGCTAACTTGAGAGGGAGGTTTCCATGCACCTGGGCCAAAGACTCAAATCCAAGCCAACTTTCTGCGTTGGTTGTTGCATGAGCTTCCCTGGTCATTTCTGGCTAGTTGACACCATAAAGCCAGGAGGCTGAGGCAGAGGAAACCAGGTGGTCTCTGCTAGACAGCTTCATGGCCCGCCAGAGGGCAGCATGTGTGGCGAGGCAGGGTTGTTTTGGAAGCCTGCATGCAGAAGCCCTGGGAAGATTTCACAGTTCTAATGCCCAGGTTACCCCAAAGCCCAGCTGCAAAAGACTCCATGGAAGCAGCTCCCAGTGTTTGAGGCCCAGGGCACCAGGGCAGCAGTCTGCTGCAGTAGCCCTCTTGTAGGAACGGATGGGGCTGCTGCTCAGTGTGCCGTGCCTGGGTGGAGACATGGCTCCTAACGCCTTCCTGTCATTGCCCCTTCCTTCCAGTGGCTGTGATGTAAATAGTCCCAGACAACCAGGTGCACACGGAGAAGGGGAAGAAGCAGCTAGAGCTGGACAGACTCCTTTGCATCTGGCAGCGTCTTGGGGACTGGAAGAGACGGTACAGTGTCTTCTGGAGTTTGGTGCCAATGTAAATGCACAGGTATGTGGAGCTTCTCTTTTCCAGGGAGAAGGTAACCTCAAAAATGGGAACTGTTCCCCTTAGGACAAGGAAGCATGCAGTCTCCAGCCCAGGGTTCTTGCTTTACCATGACCTGGACTGAGGTCCAGATAGATGACAGGACTCTCTCAGAGTCATACAGAGCCAAGAAATGCAGGGATACCATGTGCGAGCTTCGTTCTTTGTGCCTTTGTCCTTATTATATCACGAGGAAGACTTTTCCTGCCAGTTTTCTTGCCTCTTAGCTCCCCTTAGTTAAAGATCCCCGTTGGAAGCTGGTTCTAGTCCCAAGCTGGGTACTGTGTGAGAAAATATTCTAGTAGTTATCTTCAAGGTATGTCCCTTGATGAATTTCAGCATCATAGGCTCTGAAGACTTAACTCTGGAATGGTAGACTATACTAGGAGCTGAGACAGGTGGCAGATGTTCTAAAGCAAATGTGTTCGCAGTGGGTCGACAGTCACTGCCAGGCCCCCATGTGTGACAGGCAGGGGCTACCAGTCATCTCTAGGGTCTGGCCAATGAAGAAGACAAGGCTTACTCATCAGATAGAGACTCACCCTCCAGCTCTGGAACGGGACTCACTCCACGGCTCAATTCTCAGCCAAGCAGTAGCTAGGTATGCAGGGGGACAGCACTGGCTAAATACACACAGTAATATGGCCAGCCATTCCCCTAAGGACAAGGCTCAGAAGAGTGGGGAGAGAAGGAGAATTGGCAACCAGGAACACGGAGGAAGTAGGATAAGTGATGTGACTCTGAGGGGGTTGCAGTCAGTATGAAACAAAGTGTGTGATTTGTTCATCATCTATTCTGTAAACCTTCACTCAATTTAAAATGAAAAGTTAGGGAAAAAAAGCCAGTGTCAAACCCAAAGTGGTTGATTCCCGTAAATGAATTTGTCGTAAAAGTTGTCCCCTTTCATCTTCTTCCTGAATGTTGTCTCTCACTGGGCATTGAAATCTGGGCCTCATCCCACTAGGATGCAGAAGGAAGAATGCCTGTGCACGTGGCTATCAGCAGCCAACACAATGTCATCATTCAGCTGTTGATCTCTCACCCTGATATCCACCTGGACGTACGGGACAGACAGGGGCTGACCCCGTTTGCCTGCGCCATGACTTACAAGAACAACAAAGCAGCTGAGGCCATTCTGAAGCGAGAGTCCGGGGCTGCGGAGCAGGTGAGCGGTGCGGCCAGCAGGCTCGTGATGCCATGAGCATAGCACGGTTTGCTCCATCACCAGCCAAACAGCCCTTCTCTGTAGGAGACGTGTTTTGAAGTTATACTCCCTTTCCAGTGGCTTCTTGCTGTTGGATGAAATCTGACTGCTCTGCTCTGTCTCAGCCTCCTGGTAATAGCACGTACTGAGAGCAGGAGGCTGCTTGGTCCAATGATAGGGGCTCAGTTCTAGGTACAGTTCAGCTTACTCTCTGCTTTTGTTGTTTGGTTGCTTAATTGCCCTCAATAATGAAGGTCTTAGGAAAAGATTTAAGTTGAACTTGAGGAGCTTGTGTTGTGATGCTGGGGCACTTTTCTGAGTTTCAGAAGAGTGGAGTTGTGCTCATTCAGCTGAGGAGGCTTTGTTGTTGTCGTCGAGGTCTTTTGCCGTGTGGTGAATTGTTTACCTGCAACAGCAGATGGAGAGGGAAATGACAGTCACAGCTGACCTGAGATGGGAGTTGGGAACATTTCGTGTCTGGGACTCTGTTAAATCAATTGTACAGAAATTTGCCTCAGATCCTTTTAAGTTCCAACCAGCACTTAGAAAACTACCAAGATTTATGAATAGCCCGTTTGACGGTAAATGGGAACTTGAGACTTGAATGTCATGAAATCACAGCGTGGTGGAAGATTATTTCTTGGCATTTCGGGCTTGTGTACATTTCCTTTCTTCAGCACTTGTGTGCATGTAACTGAGATATGTAGGTGTGACCCTCACACTTACTCAGTGTGAAATGGTACGAATGGAGAGACAATCACCTCCTCTTGCTCTCCATCTGTTGTTGCTGGGAGGCCTGTGACGAGAACGTGCTGCTCTAGCAGCATCCACCGGGAATGTGCGAGCGGCCGTGGGGTGTCTCTGCACTTCTAGCTCCCCCACACTCATGACAGCTCTGCAGCTGCAGTGTGCTGTATGGTGAATTCAGCAGCCTTTCTTCTGCTTCTTATCATTGAAGCAAAGTCGGCAACGTGCAGCTGGCTGCCTCCCTCATTGCTGCCTGAGTAGCAGAGGCAGCTTCCTGAAACCCCTGGACTGCTCAGGGGCCAGCTGTGGGCTTAGGGTGCTGGGTGCTTGCTGGCTCCACAGTTACCCCTCCCCAGGTGTCCCAGTGGCTTCGTGCCTTCCTTTCCCTGACCTGTGGATGGCTCTTTTCTTGGCTTCCCAGAGTTCACTCCTGCTGTGGAATGCTGCTAGGGCAGCTAGAACCCATGTAGTTGTTTCCTTCCCCTGACCACTTGGATGTTTCCATGCACACACAGGCTCATTTGTGGGCCTCTGGTGTCTGTGGGGAGGGAATGTCTAGAGTTGGTTCTTGGAAGGGAGCTTCCTGACTCTGAGGTAAGGACATGGTGACCTCTCCATGGCCCACAGGTACTGAACACATATTCTTACAGGGGCGCCTACTAATGCTCTGGGTCCTGCTTACTGCCTCAGGTGGACAACAAAGGCCGAAATTTTCTCCACGTGGCGGTTCAGAACTCCGATATCGAAAGCGTCCTGTTCCTGATCAGTGTCCAGGCTAATGTGAATTCCAGAGTCCAGGACTCTTCCAAGCTGACGCCGTTGCACCTAGCGGTCCAAGCGGGCTCAGAGATTATTGTCCGCAACTTGGTAAGCAGCACAGGAACAGGACTGCATCAGACTTGTGTGCACACCTGCTGTGGACTGTAGGCAGACTGGCTTTTCACAGGTGCATGGCCAGGTCACATGCAGTTTGGGTTGGTGAGTTGCTTGGCCTTGTGACCTGGCAGGATCTAGATGGCAGAGCCAGGATGGAGAGCCATGCTGGGCTGGGGGGCTGACTTCTGTTGTCTGCCTTCTCTATTTCAGGCAGGCAGCTTAGACTTGCATGTGAACTGTCTTAATTCTTGACACAGCCCCAAGGGAGGTAGGGCACTTTTAGCATTTCACAAAGGAGGAAATTGAGGCTCAGAAAGCATTTTCCCCCCAAGGTGATTAGTCGGTTCTAAAGCCTGCTCTCTCCAGGACAGTGTGGGGCCTTGCAGTCAGGGAGAGCGTGTCAGTGTAGATGTGGAGACTGCAGTGTGCTGTCAGTAGGAGACCACGGGGACATGTGTGTGAGCATGGGCCGTTGGCATGTCTGCTCAGGCACTGTGAGCGTGAAGGAATGTAGTCACCTGCTCATTGGACACTCCACCACCCGGACTGACTTTTGGTACTTGGAATTTTTGTTTGAAAAGAAACCACATTTTAGAGAAACCTTTTTGGCCTGCTGTGTGTTTGAGCCGAAGGAGGGGTGTGGGAAGGGGTGGGCCAGAGGCCTGCGGGAGGCAGTGGCAGTGAGAAGTGGACTGGACAGTGAGTGATGGACAGGTGGGGGGAGCTCATGTTCATCAGTCTCTCTGCCACCTGGAGAACCTAGGGAGGCTGTAACAGCCAGGCCACTGCTAACTTAGACGGCATTGGTGACTGTCCCTCAGAGATGTGTCCTGTCTGGACCTATGGGTAAGACTGCAGGGGCAGCACCCAACCAGTACTCGGGGCCTAGCTCCTCACAGAGGCGGGGGACCAGGGGTCTCAGAGCTTCAGAGAGGCAGTACTGAGTGTAAGCCTTCCTCTACTGATAGCAGCTGTCGGGGACACTTTGTCAGAGAGCAGTGAATGAGTGGGCTTTAATGGAGAGACATGGTATCATTTAAAGAAACTGTGTGCCTTTGATGCTGCCCTCTTTTTGTAATTTCCTCTTTCGAAAGGTAATATAAATTCTGGAGCCAGGGAAGGTGAGCAAATCCTTGAATCTATTTTCCCGAGATCATCTATAAACTGTAAACCAAAAATATATGCTGAGGTCTTCTTAAAACTGAACAAGAGTCTACCTCCACTAGTCAGAAGGCCTGCCTTGAGTGTGATGCACTTTGCAGACCTCTCTCAGGGGTCAAGGTACCAACAGCACTCAGAAGATGAGGCCGGACCCTTAGTCCGTTTGTACCAGTGACAGCTGAGCGTGTCGTCCATAGCCAGTGTGACTGCATTCAGTACTGTGGAATTGCTGTGGATATCCTCAACAATGACTAAGTAAATACCAAATAAGAAAATAAAAAAGGGTAAAAAGTAACAGAAAAATAGTGTATGTTCACTGTGGAATAGCGTAACCACAGAAGAATAAGCAGCAGTAATTGTCTCACTGTCATCCCCAGCTCTCTTCTGGGTTTGGTGTATGTGCTTTTAAACATCTTTAAAGAGTGGGCATCTGTCTGTCTTTCTATCTCTAAATGAAACCATACTTTGTTGGGGTTTTTTTGTACTACATCATAGACATCTTTCCCTGTTAATACTTAGACAATTCTCATCTCGATGACTACTCAGACTGCTGTTTTTATCTATTACAGTTTCATAATCAAACCCTTGGCCCTCAAGTTTCACTGTTATAAGCAGTGGGCCTCCTTAATATAGTGTAGTGTACATCAGTGCTGTGGTTGTTAAGTGTTGTCGGGTTAGTTCCGACTCACAGCCACCATGTATAGGATTTTCAAGGAGCAGCTGGAGGGTTTGAACCACAGACCTTGTGATTAGTAGTACAGTGCTTAACCTATGGTGCCACCCCAGGACTCTGTACATCGCTGTTGTTAAGCGTCGTCGAGTCGGTTCTGACTGATAGCAACCCTGTATGGGATCTCAGAGGAGCAGCAAGTTAGTGAACCCCCAGCCTCACAGTACAAACCGACCTTGCGGTCCAGTGCATTACCCTGTAGTGAGTGCTACCCCAGGGCACCTTATACAGCGCTGTGGTCCTGTGCCATTTCTTATCTGCTTGAATCTTAGAAGTAGAATTTGTGTGTCCAAAGGAATGGCCGTTTGTGTTTTGATAGTAAAGTGACAGAGACCCTTGGGGAAGGTTTGGCTGGTGTGCGCCTCCCTGAAGTGTATGCGAGGTCCTTGTTAAGTGAAACCGTGCTTGTGGTAGAGAGACTTCTCATGTGATCAACTTCAACAGCTTCTAGCAGGAGCCAACGTGAATGAATTAACGAAGCATCGCCAGACCGCCCTCCATCTCGCTGCCCAGCAGAACCTGCCTACCATCTGCTCGGTCCTCCTAGAGAATAGAGTGGACTTTGCTGCGGTGGATGAGAATGGCAACAACGGTAATGCCATTGTCCCCTCTGTCCAGTGCTGGGGCCAGGGTAGGGGTGCACTGTGTGCCCAAGGCTGCCCCCATTCAGTGAGGATGGCTTTTACAAGAGCAGAGCTGTGCTTGGGAGCGCTCTGTGCAGGCCCTGCCGCCTGTCACTGTAACTATGGAAGCCTCAGGTGGCTTCCTGTGAGACTCTTGCATCTCATCATAAGGTTGGTGGAGATGGAAAGGGTGGCTCTGGGTGGCCAGTGTCTGCCCTCGGCAGGAGATGTGAGGGGTGAGGAGTTGAAGTTTTCCGTGTATGCTTCTGGGCCCGCTCCCTAAGAGGATTTACTCCCCAGCTCTTCATCTTGCTGTCGTGCATGGCCGGCTCAACAACATCCGGGTCCTTCTCACAGAGAGCACGGTGGATGCCGAAGCCTTTAATGTAAGGTGAGTGTGTTTCTCCTGTTGGGAGTGCAGCCTAGTTCAGCAGAAGTCAGGGCTCCACATCACCTGGCTGCCCCTCAGAACTGACGGTCACTGGGGGCTCCCATCAGACCCAGGGCACACTGCAGACATTCTTGTTATGCATCCTTGAGTGTTTCAGCACCTCATCAGAGTTCAGAAAATTCCTTTCTTTTGTGTATGGTCACCATGGCCAACGTACATCTAATGTTTCCAAGTTGTTGTTGTTTTTTAAATCAGAGGCCAGTCACCACTGCACATTTTGGGACAATATGGCAAAGAGAATGCGGCAGCCATCTTTGACCTTTTCTTGGAGTGTATGCCCGAGTACCCGCTGGATAAGCCGGACGCAGAAGGAAACACGGGTATGTGGAAAGGCTTACCAAGTCTCACTTGCGCTCCCTGCTTCCGGTTTTCTGAGGGTACTGAGTGCTGTGCACTTCGGCGGGGCTCTTTAAGCATCTCTCTCAGACCCCTGCTCTGGAACTGCTGGGCACTGTCTGAGTTAGGCAGAACCATGTCGCATGAGTCTCCGGGCTGTTGGCTGTCCGATTGCCTACCGGGTCACGGACGCCTGCTGGTGGAAGCAGAGCTGCTGCTGCACAGCTGTCTTGTCATCTTCAGGGAAGCAGACTGCCAGGCCTTTCTTCCGGAGCTCCTGGGAGGGTCAGACCATTAGCTTTTGGTCGGCAGCCAATTGCAAACCACTTGCACCAGGCTGCCTGCCTGTTTTGATTGTCTCTGCCTCTTGTGTGGTCAGCAGGGTCTTAACCAAACTCCTGAATTCCACCAGAGCAGTAAAACCTAAGCATACCTGAGAGACTGAAGGAAAAGCCGTATGCAACAGTGTGTCCTGACTTGCCTTGAGAAATGGCATGTTTCATACGGAGAGAGAACGTCCTAGTGAGGGGCTGCTTCTCTGCTCAAGCTTGTTTTGAAGGCTTCATTCGTTTTCTTGTTGAGTTCTCACAACAGCCCCCTAAAGTAGGCAGTGTACTTAGTGTGTCCCCATTTTTCCAGTGAGGAAGATAAAGCGCAGATATCTCCCTTCCCCACCCTGGGCCCTCAGAGCAGCCTGTGCTCACCCAGCGGTGCCTCCGGGCCTTCTGCAGCCACGAAGTGTCATTACCAAGCTGCTCTAGTGAGCCGTCATTAGCTAGGGTGGGGAAAGAGGCTAACTATAGGGCCGAAAGGCTTTATGTCAGGGCCTCCACTTCACATAGACAGAGCTCTACTCCTAGCTCTGCCTTCTGCTATTCCTTGAAGATGGGAGCAGTAACCCTCATCCTTCTAGGTGGTCTTGAGAAGTCAATGAAAGAACTGAGATAAAGCGCCTGGGAGAGGTCAGCCCAGGGGAGCGGCTAGGGCGCTGTGACCTAGTACAGAGTACAGAGGCTCCTGAAGGGAGAACTTTCTGGACCTTGTTGTGTACACAACTCTTCAGATTTTGTTACATTATGTGAAAAGAGCTTTGTGATGAAATCGCTGTGACTGAGGTGGTGCTCTGGCGCTGCAGCGTCACTGTAGACCCTTGACTTACAGCCGGACCTTCTCCTGGAAGCTGCGGCTGAGCCTGTGATTCTGTGGGGATCTGCCCTCGCTGTCTTGGCAGTGCCACGTGCAGGCGAGGTGAGAAGCAGGTTTTCCTGTGGTTTTGTTTTCTAGTGCTGCTCTTAGCATACATGAAAGGCAATGCCAACTTGTGCCGTGCAGTCGTCCGATCTGGGGCTCGCCTTGGAGTGAATAATAACCAAGGAGTCAACATTTTCAACTACCAGGTTGCTACCAAACAACTTCTGTTTAGGCTGTTAGGTGAGTGACTGACCTTGTACCTGCTTCCTACAAGCACAGACAGAAGAATGCCTGTCTGTCTGGAAGGATTGGTGACTTGTGAATCCTGTAACATCAGAACGTGTGTCTCCTCCCTGTGGAGGCGGGGTGTGGTAGTGGACATAGGCTCGGGTGAGGAGAAAACCAGACATCAACCCCTCACTGAACGGCTCATTAGGGTTTCCAGGACTGTAAATCAGCATGGGAAGAGACAGCCTCATCTCTCTGCTGAGGAGCAGCTAGTGGGTTTGAACTGACTACCTTATAGTTAGTAGCCCAGTGCTTAGCCCACCATGGTACCAGGGCTCCTGTGGATAAAGATACAAGCTTGGAAGTATTGTGGCGAAGGTGTGGTCTGGTTGTAGGTGGGTCCACCTTGAAGAGCTCAGAACTGCCTGTCCAAGGCTGGTGCAGAGCTCGTTCTCTCCTGCTGGGGCTCAGAGCTGTACGCAGAGTGCCAAGTGCTTGTAGTCGCTGTCCACAGTCCACAGCTTCGTGTTTTTAGGTCAGGCCCAACCTGAACGGCTACAGCCCCTCATGCTCAGACTCAACGACTCCTAGTTCTTTTCCTTCCGTCTCTTCTTGGCTGGGAATCCCACCACAGACTCAGTCACACACCCCCAAACTTGTGAACTATGTTGGTCTCCTTTCTGCTCCCTGCCCACCTCTCATGTCCCATACTTCTTACAGATTCTACCTCCTCCGTCTCTCTCATCTGGTTTCCCTCCCCCTTGGTCCCCTTACCTTTTGGACCCTGCCAGTCTTCCCAGCTTCCCTGCCTGCCTGCCTTCCCCCAGAGGCATTACCTGGAGCCCCATTGTGTGCAGACAGCTGCTGAGTCTGTCTGTCCTCTCGGAAGCCCAGTTCCGGCATATTCATCCCTCCCACTCAGGCAAGGGCTTACGTGACTTACTGATGTGCTGCCCTTGCTGGCCCTGTCACCACGTGACCTAAACCCGTCTCCTCCTACCTGGGTTGCAGACATGCTGTCTAAGGAACCTCCGTGGTGTGACGGCTCCAACTGCTACGAGTGTGCTGCCAAGTTTGGAGTCACAATGCGCAAGCATCACTGGTAAGACCCCAGCAGCAGCTTCTGTCCCAGGAGTGAGGGGAGAGGAGGAGCTGCCCAGGGCCACTCTGCCCAGAGGCAGTGACGTAGGTTAGCCGCGGTGGCTCCCGGAATGCTGGGCCTCCTAGGCTGCTCTGCAGAGACCTGAGGAGCTGCTCTGGACCTCCACTGCGAGCCTTCTTCAGGCCCTTTACCTTATTCTGATGTAGCTTTGTGTGCATGGACTGGTACGATTTGGCTGGCAGGAGCAGAGTTGATAACAGGGTAGGGTGGTGGGCTTGCTTGTCCCCAGGGCACTCCGGGTTGTGGAGGTTCTCACATGCTGGAAAGTTGTCTGGTTTTTAGTCCCCCTCATTCCTCCTCTCTTTCCTCCACAGTCGTCACTGCGGACGTCTTCTTTGCCATAAATGCTCAACCAAGGAGATTCCTATCATCAAGTTTGATCTGAACAAGCCTGTGCGAGTTTGCAACATGTGCTTTGATGTTCTGACTCTGGGGGGAGTCTCTTAGTGAACCCTGGGAGGGTCCAGGCCCCGGCCCCGTCCTCAGTTGCCTCCCCAGCAGCCCGCCCTCACCCAGAGCAGGAGCTGAGGGCCGTCTTCCTACGGCAGTAGACTGAACAGTAATAAGGACCATGGTGTGCTAGATTCCATGTGAAATCATTGTGTATGAGTGTGGTATATCAGACTGTGATTGATCTCTCTAGACGTCTCGTTGATGGGACCAGACCATTTGGCCCAGGTGGTAGGAATTAGAACCCCTTCTGCTAGCGCCATCCAAAGACACTTGTCAGCCCTTCCCCCGCCAGTAGCGTAGTGTCTTCCTTCACAGGCGGGGTGGCTTGATAGAGCCCAGCAGGCAGGAGGCTGGTGTCCGGCTATACTCGAGTCTGAGATGCTGTGCAGAAAATGCACAGTGGTTTCATAAAGAGGATAGGGTCCTCTTGCCCAGAATCCTTCTCTTTTTTTTGAAAAGCAAAGCTGTATTTTTAGTGATCTATTCCTTTAAAAAACAAGGTGAAATCTTTCTAAACAGGGTTCAAAGACGAGAGCTGAACAAATCCCGTGGCCTTAACACCTGAAAGCTTTACTAGTGTTCCTGCTCCCCAGGTGGCGGCAGTGCGTGTGGCAGCTGGAGGCCTCCCGAGCGGCCTTCTCCCTCCTCTTGTCTCGCTGTAGCCTGTCTGTGGGGTCTTCAGAGACTCGGCCACTTGAGTGCTGGTGGAATTGCACTTTTGTTGTGCTGCACTTTTTATATAGCTGCCTCCTTGGTGAGTCTAGTGAAAAACCCATTTCAGAAACACCCTTGCACATCCTTGCATCAGAGATTCTAATGATCAACTTTGGCTGGACCTCAGCTCACACCAAGTCTTAAAGGAAAACCCCCTGCAGTGTGTTATTGGGAACAAGAGAGCACATAGGCCAAGTGATGAGGTGAGCCATGAATGGGCAGGGCCATGAATGGGCAGGGCTTCCACTCCACGGGCAGCTCCAGCCTTGGGCTGGCAGGTCCCATCCCCTTGACAACGAAAGCTTCTTGCTGGAATGGTGCAATGAGTGCTGTCGCTCCCAGCTCCCTCCAGTAATGTGCCCTGCTCTGGAAGGTTCTGGCTCAGATGCCCAGTGGGGCTCCTGAGCACTGCTAGTATGTTGTTAACCCTGAGGTGTGGGACTTCCCACCTTTTCAAGGTTTGGCCAGTTTTGTTTTGAATGCACCTTTGAAGAGAAACTTTTACCACTGCTTAAAAAATAAATAAAACCCAACTCTGAGATGAATACGTACTGTACAGTTATACTCAGATTAACAGTCTCAGTCGTACATACATTAATAATAATCGTACATTTAATAACCACTACATTTTTTTTTTGCATTAATGAAATATGGATGTATATGTAAAAGGGACTAATTTTTTTTGGCTACAGCCTACAGTTTTTGTTTGTTTGTTTCTGTTTTGGATAGTGCTATGTTGCTGTAGATTTATACATTCTCTTGCTGAAAATGTGTGTAAAATGACCTGATAAATCAGAGTGCTACTTTTAAAAACACTTCTGTGACTTGACATATATGCTTTCTATGTTAATAGGAGCTTGCGTATAATGTTTCCAAGACAAATGTTAATTATAAAAGTTTCCCTCTCGCCCCAAATCTGTGACATATTTTACATAAACTTTTACAGAAACACCCAACTAGTATTGGCAGATATGTGACCGGTCATGGGCGACATATGATCAGTTTCCATTTGTCTGTTGCCAGAGGAGAACCATGAGGAAGTTGGGCTTAATTAAGTGGCTTGATTCTTTCATTGGAAAGAGAATTATGTTTCAAATAGGAGTTGAGGCGGCTGGTAGATTGGTGCTTGTTCTGGAGACCCATCGGGGGTGAGGTGGGCTGTCCGGCCTGCATTCTGTTGCACTATTTCCCTTAATAGTCTGCCTCTAACCACACTAAAAATCTGAAGATTAGGTTTAAAAGACGAATCAAGCTTCTGTTCTGCAGAGTGCAAAGACAGCTGTGCTACTGACCAGGCCCCTCCCTAAGGGATGTTAGTGAGTCCTGCACTGGCTTCAGGGTGCATTCTTACAAATCGGGTGGGGAAGATTTTTTCTGCCGAAATTTGTAACATCATTTGTGGGCCTTGGAAAATTACCAACTTAAAAATTAGCCTGTTACATGTGGCCAAACATTAACTCTAACCCCTAATGTGATGGGTCAGCATCGACTCAATAGCACTTAATAAACAACAGTGTGGTAGCTAAGGAGCTCTGGTCACATGGTGGTTATGAGTCAGGCTGCTACCCTCAAAGTCAGAAGTTCAAAACTACCATCTGTTCTGTGGGAGAAAGATGAAACTCTCTACTCCTGTAAAGATTTACAGCCTCAGAAACCCTATGCAGGTGGCTACGAGTTGGAACCGACTCCAAGAAACACCACCACCATCACCAATGAGATGGCAGGGCCAGACCCAATGATTTCATGGGCCTTATGTGGCCCGCAGGCTGGACGTTCCCCACCCTGTTGTAGGTGAAAACAAAGCACCTTCCCCTCCTTGAGAAATCTCTTGGCCATCCTGATGGTGCCCACAGCCCAGGCCCTGCTGAGATCCGCTCTCCCGCTCTCCCAGCTGCCACCGCTCGACTCCAAACTGCCTGCCTGCTCTTGCTTACTCAGAATCAGTAGTGTAAATACAGGTTGCAAAAACCGATTTTATTCATGTGGAAAGTTGCCAAGTGTGAATGAGTGGAGCAGGAAGAGTGAACTTTATTGAAATGCTGCATTAGTCAGCATTCTGCTTAACTAGCTTTGTAACTGCCACTTGTTCATCATCAGATTCATTAGACAGTATAGTTTTAGCATGCATTTTTAAAGACGAGCATACAAACCACATGCTATTTATAAATTAGATGGCTTAAATCAACTTATGACCCTCAAACACATGAACTCCCTAAGTGCCTACACTTAGGACTGGTGATTTTTCAGTTATCTTTTCAGTGGTGTCTCACTGAAGGATGTACTAGAACTTGTGTTTCATTTGGAGTTTTCGGCCTGTGCAATGTCAACCCCATTTTAGCTGAAGCTGGATTCGATTGCTTGATTCTCTCCAGGAGTGGGGTCCATATGACCTTTTGTCCTCTACCTCAGAGCCCAGAGTTGTTTCTGCTTCCTCACTTTTCTCCCTGGAATTGGCGTGGGGTGGGAGGGTGTCCCTGCATGAGCTTAGTAAGCCCAGGGTCCCACCACTTTTACTGACGTGTGTACCAGATCTGTTGTATTGAACGTTACTGGGGAGGGGATAGAGAGCCCTGATCATCATCTAGGTTTCTTTTATCAGGAGAAAAAGAATACTTCTGAACCTGAAAGGCAAACTGCCTACAAAGTTGACAGTAACACTAAGGAGTAAACCACAGGTCCATTTACACTTGCAGCTCCCCAGTCAAAGCAGCACCTGAAACGAGCTTGCTTCTAGGGTCTGAGAGCTTCCTTCAGGAGAAGCCGCAGAAGAACTGGGAGCAGCAGTGGTGAGGCCCACCACCCCCTCCGAGCCCCCATCCCAGCAAAGAGGAAGCAGAGAAGAACGTGCTCTCTAAAGGGAGCTGGAAACTACATTCTCACTTGTGGAAGTGATTTTGTGACTAGCAGATTGTTTGACAAGATATTAACTAACACTTATCCTAACTTCCCAACCTTCTCATAGATGCCTTAAAGACTCTGTGGAAGATCACTGCCTGCTAGGTCGTTTTTTGTGGGCCTCAAGGATGATGTATTATTATTAACTGGTTACAACGTGGTTTTCTGTAGCCAGGGAGTCTTGACTCAGCAGCTGAAGGACTCCCCTGTGTTGGGTGATGTGTGGAGCCAGCTGTTACCATGACATTCCTGAGGGGCATGATGTGACACTGATGGCAGGTGGCAGCTGGGCAGAAGCTGCAGGCACACATTCAGGTTGATCACCTGGGCACTAAACCATTCTGAGTTGGTGCTCAGTGTGGGGTGGCGGCCTTGTATAGGACCATGGCGCTTAATCAGCATCATTTCTTTGGAGTCCATGTAATGGAATGTATTTTTCAAATATTGATATTTGCATTTTCTGTAACAACTCCTTATAATAAAATGAGGTAAAATTGTGCATTTAAAGTGGAAACTTTAATGAGGCATTTGTAGTTACTTCTAATGTAGAAGTATTGATAAGCATTAAAAAAAAAAAAAAAACTAAACCAACTCCTGATGTGAACAAATTTAACACTTGGCTCTAGGAAAGTTTGAATCCTAACATTTGCAGAAGCACACAGGTGTCAGCAGTCCCAAACCAGCCCCTTCAGACATAAAGCCAACTGCCAGCTACGGAAGCAGTGCTCCCAGCTTAGACAGCTAGTGACCCTGGGGACCCTCAGACTGACATTATTTAGGAACGACTCAAAAGGACCTACCGTGGTCTGGTGTCACGTTTTGTAGGCATAAAACTACAATTTTAAGATCCATAAAGCCCCATGGACAAAGCCTACCCATCTCCTAGTGCACTCGGCACTCACTCTTAGCCCTCTTTACCTGTCCATTTTGCTTACCCCTGGTTCACAACAGCTTATTTTTTTTTAAAACTTTTGTTGTGAACTGAGTGAAGGTTTACAGACAAGAGCATCAGTTTTACATTCAACAAATCTTTGTTTCATCTCAATGACTGCAATCCACTCCGTGTAACAACAGTTACCCTGCCTTCCTCCCTGTTGTTACTAGTTTCCACTCCAACCACCTTCCCACTTCTCCCCACTCCTCAACTTTGTCCTTAACTAAATGTTGCCCTTTGATTTTGAATGACCGACCATTCCATGGGGAACTTCCTTCCTAGTGGTGGTGTTCTCCTTATTTACCTATTTACTGCTTGGCTGAAAATTAGGCCACAAGGGTGAGTTCCATTCCAGACCACCTGAAGGGTGGTCGAGGGCATAGTCTTAGGTTCTTCCACTCTCTGACCAGTAAGCCCACACTCAAGCTTTTATGCAATTTCATTCTGTGGTTTTTCTCTCGTAGTTGATAGGTAGTGTCTTAGGCTGGGTTCTCTAAAGAAACAAAACCAATGTGTGTGTGTGTATATACATACATACACATACACACACACACACACACACGAGTCGAATCCGACTCATAGTGACCCTGTACAGGGTTTCCGAGGCTGTGAATCTTTATGGGAACAGAAAGCCTCTTCTTTCTCTCGCAGAACAGCTGGTAGTTTCGAACTGATGACTGTGAGATTAGCAGCCCGATTCATAACCACAGTGCTACCAGAGGTATCTATATCTATCTATCTATATCTATATATATATCAATATATACAACTTGAGGAGCTCTGATAGCGTAGTGGTTATGAATCGGGCTGCAAACCCTAAGGTCAGTGGTTCGAAACTACCAGCCACTCCGCGGGAGAAAGATGAGGCTTTCTACTCCCGTAAAGATTTACACCCTCGGAAACCCTGTACAGGTGACTCGACGGCACATAACAACATACATAATTTGTTGTCACCAAGTCGGTTCTGACTCATAGTGGCCCTGTATAGGACCAGCTGGTGGGTTTAAACTATTGACCTTGTGGTTCCCAGACCAGTGCTGATTCTACAGCACCACACCAGGAGTCTCTATATATGCACATAAACACACACGTTGTTGTTGTTATGTGCCATCGAGTCGGTTGCGACCCTGTATAGGGTTTCCGAGGGTGTAAATCTTTACGGGAGTAGAAAGCCTCATCTTTCTCCCGCGGTGCAGCTGGTAGTTTCGAACCGCTGACCTTAAGGTTCGCAGCCCAATTCGTAACCACTACGCTACCAGAGCTCCTTAAACACACACATAAAGTAGTTTATATCAGAGAAATGGCTTATGATGGTAGATAGGAGAGTCCCAAGTGCAGGCTAGGCAAGCCAAGATCAGCAGACAGCTCCGGAAGGCAGGAATCCCAAGTTGGGGCACAGAGCAGGACCTCAGCGCTGGAGCAGGTGTGCCAGCGGGTTGACAGTTGACCAATGCCTGGGCAGGTGTCAGGCACATGAGCCAGGGAGACAGGAACAGTTGTGCAGGGCCCTCCAGTGGGTGTCCAGTTTTCCAGGGACACTTGGCAGGTGGGCCCAGCAGGCCAATGCATAATAGAGTAGGCTCAGGTTCAAAGGGTTGGAGGATGACCCAGATAGGAGATCCAGACCCAGTCCCTACTTTTTCCATTGTATTGGGAGCAGGCCACACCAAGGAAACATCCTTTCAGTTGATTGGTTGCTCATAGCCAATTGTCCTAGAGAACCATCATTGCCAAACAGCTGGGATTCCCGGTTCAGTCAAGTTGACACAGAACCTATCACATACTGTTAGTGTTTCCATGTAGTCCTCCTTTGCAGCGAGCAGTGTCGCTAGCAGTAATGTGTGTGGTGTAGACAGGAACCAGCCACGCATGGAGTTTCACAAATTTCTGCCAAGCAAAGGGACAGCACAGAATTTTAGTTCAGATTTGTCATTGATGAGCTAATGGTATTGGGCAAGTTCCACAATTCTGTGCCTTTCATTCCTTAACTAAAAACAGGTGACCATGATTCTTCCCAACTCACAGGGTCTCCTCTGGTGAGGATTCTCCCGATTAACATCTCAGGCCTGCTTGAAGGAATCAAGAGACTTTGGCAGTAGGGAGGGGCACCCATGGATTTTTTTTTGTTGCTGTTCTCCTTTTTTAGATTCTTGTTAACATTAGCATCATTAATAGCAAAAACAATCATTTAAGAAAACAATGAGATGCCACTACCAGAGATGATAGATCCTTTCATTTATACTGATCCCACTGGCAAGCCCAGATTTACTCTGAACTTCGAGTCTCTCTTAAACAGATGGTACAGCATTCCAGTAGAAGGTATGGAGTGCCAAGTGTGAGTTTCTGAGGGATATGCCTCCGAGAGAGCTCAGGAACACACAGTCCTCCAGTGTACTCCAGTGTTGGGATCTTCAGCAGCTTCCTTCTGAGTGGTTTTAACAATTCCATCAGCCCCAAGGTTCAGATCTTACAAAACATTCTTAACATTAAAAAATGGACTCTGTCCCATAGAGATAGGGTTTCCATCGCTTCTCCAGCTTCTTGTACTTGGCTTCCAGTTTTTTTTGACAATGCATCCAACCTGTAAGCTGCTTGTTCAAGGCCTGCTACCTGCTCCTCAATTAAATTGATCTGATCCCGATAAGGCTGCAATCCGGCATACTTGTGGTTTAAGTCCTTTAAGTTTCTACTAATATTTATAGCAATATTTTTCATTTCAAGATAGTTCAAGCTGGTTAGCTTATTCATATTTTCCACGAGCTTATAATCTTCGCTGGTGGCTGACAGTTCCCCAGTCAGGTACTTGGCCATCTTGGAGAACATGTACCGGCACAGCTCATTGACATCAGCCTCCGCGGGCTCCTCTGCTTCCTCAGCAGTCTCCACTACAGCATCATCTCGAGACAGTGCTGCACTTCGGCTTGCCAGGACACCCTCGGTTGAGTTGTCACCACCGCCGCCGTAACAAACCGGCATTGCTTCACCCATGGATTTTTGAGCAGACAGCATCAAGCTGTTGGTGGGCCTAACTTTCCAAGCACAGCTTGTCCCTGAGCAAAGCATGCCAGGGGAGGGGTGGAGACCTGCGGTGGTTCATGTGTTCTGCAGTCATGCAGTGGCTGAACTATGTCTCCCAAACCCCAGGTTCTTCACTCTTCGTTCTGTTTATAGAAAAATGAAATCTTAACAGTAGGGCAGGTGTTAAGATTGCTTCAAGACACTGAAGGCTGCCAGCCCTACCATGTAGTTGCCTCACCTGTGCTTTCACACTGCTCACTGGTGTGGTAGTGCAGATACAGCTAAGAATGATCAGTGCTGATGGCCGCTGTCCATACTAGGAGAAGTGGGTCATATTAACCAGCCCACCCCCAAACCCACAAAATAAATCTCCAGACTGATGTAGAGACTGAGAACAGAACACTCCCAGCACAGGCCAGCAGGACTGCCCAACCTGACCTAGCTTACTTCTCCATTGTCCTCTGCCATCAAGTCTAACTTCATGTGTAAAATGAGCTGAACTCGGCTCCCTCTTTCATTTTTGCCCATGACCACTGCTACTCGAGAGAAAGAGGCATCCCTTCAGTAACTACCAGCTTCCTGTGGCTCACTTCCCCTGGCATGAGGAGGCTCTTTACAGTAACGTGGGTGACATCAAACATGAACAAATTCTCACTGAGCTGCAGGCTCCTGAGGCTGACCGAGCTGTCCCGGGAGCACAGCTTTAGGAGCCCGGCGTAGTCAGAGGTCACATGCCTTCTAGGTTCCTGTGAAACCTGGCAGGAATGACTGCTAGTTTCCTTTGCTGCCCACCCCTCATTTGTTTTTGGAAGGGTCTGAACATCTCTGGCTCTGGCCCTCATTCTCTCCCTGTACCCCTCCCCCCAAGAATGGACTCTAGATGCTCTAACCAGAGAGTACTCTATTGTTAAGGGCCTTTGAGTCGGTTCCAACTCACAGTGACCCAGCATAGAGTTTCTGAGATCAGCTAATGGATTTCAACTGCTGACCTTGTGGTTACCAGTCCAGTGCTTATCCTACAGCACCACACCAGGGCACCGGGCTCCTAAAATGTGAGCTCAGGATCCTTTACTTACTACCCCAACTTCCCAATCCTAACTTACTGCCTCAAGTCTGGGTTCCTAGTCATTGTGGCCCTATAGGGTTCCTGAGACAGTCAATCTTTAGGGGAGCAACAAGCCTCATCTTTTTCCCGCAGAGCAGCAGGTGGGTTTGAATGCTGACCTTGGGGCTCCCTGGCACATGGTAGGTACTTGGTAAATATCTGTTGGGTAATTAAAGGAAGCACCAGAGCAGGGGCAGAGACCAGTTCCCAGCCAGTCTGGAGTTGAGTGCTGTTTCTGGTTGATAGGCCCTAGACACAGAGTTCCAGGGTTGTCTGGAACTCCAAACAAGCTCCGAATTTCAGCTCTCCATTCTATCTACCCTGTTCCTGGCAGGGCAGTGACAATCAGAAGGAAGGAGGAGTACAGTAACACTAGATCAGGAGCCAGGACCCTAACCCTGGGTTCTCTACTCAGCTCCACTGCCTTGTGACCTTGGACAAGTGGCTGACACCGTCAGAGTGTCTGAAGCTGCACACTGACCCCATGGTTAGCCACTGTGGACAAGGGGATACGAGGCTGAGTGGCCCTGGAATCTGCAGCCCAGGGGAGGGAGGCTACAGAACACGGAGATGTATGTCATCTTAGGGTTAGCACGTCCCAACTCAACCACAGGGCCAGTGCTTATGGGCCCCCAGGGGTGGGGGCTGAGCTGAACCCTGAAGAAGGAAGAGTCCTTCCCTGCAGAAGGAACAGCACATTGCAGCGAGATGGCAGCTGGTGACAGGGACATGGTCAGACAGCACAAGGGCCTGTGTGCCAAGCTGCAGTAGACTTAGTGCTGGGCCCTGATGGTGTAGACAGCCCCTACCACTAAGACCAGTGGCCAGTGTGGAGGTAAGGTGGACATTAGCCTCCTGCACTAAGCCTAAGGCTAAGGAGCAGCACTGGCAAAAGCTGAGAGTGGAAGCCAGTTCAGGGCATCGGGGTTTGTTGGTTGGTTTTAAATTACCTCCCCCAGCGTAGTGGTTACGAATCGGGCTGAGAACTGCAAGGTCAGCAGTTCGAACCTACCAGCTGTTCCTCAGAAGGAAGGATGAGGTTTTCTGTTCCCGTAAAGATTTACAGCCTTGGAAACCCTGCAAAGGGTCGCTGTGAATCGGAACCAACTCCACGGCACATCACCACCAACCACCATGCAAATTAATGATTTCCCTTTTGTTGTTAGTACCATCAAGTCGGTTTCGACACAGCAGGGACCTAGTATAGGGTTTACGAGGAGTGGCTGATTCAGTTTGAATGGCTGACCTTGTGGTTCAAACAGCTCATCCTATAGCACTACGACTCCCCTAGTGCCTTGGGGAAGTCCATATTCTGGTTTAAAGAGAGTGAACAAGAAGGCGAGGATCAAGGAGGTGGTGCTGCCAGGACTTGGAACCTCAGTGTGGGAGGGGAGAGGGGAGAAAGGTGTGGCGAGGAATCTTAACTGGTGTGACAGTATACGGGGGGTGCCAGTCCCTGGGGGAGCTAGACGAATCACAGGAAGACCAGGCGATGCCTGGACAGATGCTCAGGAGAGACAGCTGGAGTCAGAGTGAGAAAAGCAGTGAGAAGGGGCTCAGAGAGGAGGGGCGCTCTCCCACAGACAGAGGAGGAATGGCCAAAGGTAGACAAGGAGCATCAGGAGAACGCCTGGAGCCGGGTCCATGGAGGGCCTCAAATATGACAAAGAGCCATGGAGATCATTTCATCCTGCTTTTCAGAGTGGAGAAGGGCAGAAGCCAGGGAAATGAGAAGCTTGGCTGTGGCGGGAAGTAGACATGGAAACGACAGGAATGGACAAGGAGTGTTTCATTTATGGTGCGAGGGCAGGAGGAAGTAAGTCAGGTCACTGCATACTGAGGGAAGAGCTAGCAGGCAGGGGGAGGTTAAAGGGACACACAGGGGCAAATGAGGAAGATCCAGCCCAGGAGTAAGGACCAGCTGTGGTCAGTCACGGCAGTTTTAGACACGAGTTGGCCGCAAACGGAATACAGCCCCCATTAGTGAGATGAACAATGAAGGGGTAACGAGAGAGGGAGAATAGACACTGTTTAAACAATAGTTGAAGGGACAAGAAGCTGAAGTGAGGCCTCACAGGACAAGACACGTGTACCTGAGATAATATCTGTCTTCATTTCCTTACCTGTAAAGTAAAAACAGGAGTCTTGGTGTGGTGCTGTAGGATAAACACTAGACTGCTCAGCACAAGGTTCAAGCCCACCCGCAGCTCCTCAGAAACGCTATGCAGTATCACTATGAGCCGGAATTGACTCGACAGCACTTAACAGCAACCACAAAGTAAAATCATGCCTTACTTCCACATGCAAAGTAATGGGTCTGAAATTTCTATGGCAAATGTAGTAGACTACAGATGGAGTTCTGGTGTGGCGCCGTAGATAAGCACTAGACCACAAGGTTACTTTGAATCACAAGATCGATAGTTCAAACTCACCAGCTGCACCTTGGAAACCCTAGACAGGGTTGCTATGAGTTGGAACCAACTCGACAGCACTTAACAGATGACCTTGTACATACAACTCACTGGACAAGCTGCAAGCCAGGTCACCATTAAGTTGGGGCTATAGATTAGTATTTGCATCCTGCCCCAAACTCTGATATTATACTACCTTGTTAGGGCTGTGAAAGTACCTGTTGCTCAAAATGCATACTTCTCCCTTTGTAAACACACTATACCTGATTATAAGGGTTTAAAAGGGAAACATCGCTGTTTTAAGCTGTTGCTTTGTTCAAAAGCATTTACTGCATTCATATAAGCAAAAGTTTTCCCTCTCCAGAATGAGCTACCATTTTATTATTGCCACTCATTGTATTGGTCCAGCTTTAATCAACAAGATGCCCCAGGTCAGTCCTGACTCATAGCGACCCTGTGTACAACAGAACACAACACTGCCTGGTCCTGTGTCAGCCTCACAATCGTCAGGGTTGAGCTGATTGCTGCAGCCACTCTATCACTCCATCTCGTTGGGGGTCTTTCTTTTTTGCTGACCCTCCACTTTACCAAGCATGATGTCCTTTTCCAGGGACTGGTCTCTCCTGATATCAAGTCCAAAGTATGCAAGGCTCAGCCTTCTCACTTCTAGGGGCATTCTGGCTGTACTACTTCTGAGACAGATGTTTGTTACTCTGACAGTCCAGGGTGCTTTTGATATACTTCAACACCATAATTTAGATGCATCGATTCTTCTACTGTCTTCCTTATTCACTGTCCAGCTTTCACATGCATTTGGGTGATCCCCATGGCTTGTGTCAGGTGCATCTTAGTCCTCAAAGTGTTATCTTTGCTCTTTAACACTTTACTGATACTTCTTTTGCAGATCTGGGCAACACAACATGCCTTAGGATACAGATCAAAGTTCGAGTTTGCAGGTTTACCAGTGTGGCGCCAAGGACAGAGCTTTACAGACACTGTCTATTTGGTATGGCTCTTTGGGATGCATCTGCTCAGAGTTGGTAGGGAATTACGGGGTCCCCTTTTGCCAGTACCCCAGACACCTGGACAGAGTTAGGAAAGGCTATGTTCCAGGCAGGGCCCAGGGCTACTGGCAGACAGGGCTGCAGGGTGGGGTGGTAGGTGTAAAGGAAGGGTGGGTACAAGCAATGTGGCAATTGAAACCCAGAGTCCTTTTGATTGTTTGCCATTTCTCAGTTAGTCATCGCGTGTCTGTTGCTATCTGTGTTCTTTGAAGGAAGATGGCACATGGATCTAAGGGGAAGTGGCAAAACAGGCTGAGCGGTAATGGCCTCGGCAGTTGCTGAGCTCTGGCCTCAGTCACAGAAAGGGGAGGGGACAAGAGTCACAGCGGCAGAATGTGGGCCAGAGTCCTGGTCTCATGTCAGGAGCCATCTGAGGACACAAAGGGGTTAACAGCTTACTGGAGTTCTGGGCAGGGTGCAGTATTACCCACATATAGGGCAACACCTTAGGGTGGGAATGAGCAGGTGGTGGCCAGGGGTGGGCAGCCTGTGTATTCCCCCAAGCTGGGGTGGTCCAAGTCTCCACGATTTCTGTGCAGAGGACTGTCCAGCATCTGGTCACTAGGGGGGCCAGTTGTCCGCACACACACGCAGTGGGCTTCCTTGGCACCCGGTTTATACAGCTTCCTGGGAACACCAATCCAGTCTCTGCTCACTCCTCCACTACGGAGAAAAGGATAGAGGAGTTCTGAACAGCGGGACTCACCAGTGTCTCCAAGACGCGGGGGAGGAGCAGCGAGCCAGGCCTTCCACTGCCCGGCTTGGGGTTTTCCCAAAGCAGAGCACTCTGTAGTGCTCACTGTCATGCCCTCTCCTGACGTCTCTCTCACCCGCGCACGTGCTCACATGTGTGAACAGCTGTGAGAGCTTCCCCACCAGTCTAGGGGTTTCTCAAAAGCAGTGTCGAGGTAACGGCTCCTCCCTCCCCACTGCATCCCAGCCCAGGGCTCAGTTGGGCTGGACCTTAGGGCCTGGGGAGTGGTCACAGAGATCTAGTCCTTGATGTTGCTGGGTTTCAAACAGGGAGGACTCAGCTCTGGCCCAACCTAACCTGAGCAACCTTCTAGGCCTGAACTCATTCTGGAGTGATGCATTCAGTCTCCCATGGTCTCATAGGCCTGGCAAAAGGAAAAGGGGAGTCTTGGAATCAAAGCCCCATATAATTTCCAGCTGGACAATAGTTCAAACCCACCAGCACTCCTCAGAAACCCTACACAGTCACTGAGTCAGAACTAATTCGACAGCACTTAACAACAAACAATTTCCAGCTGGGACCAGGACCTCTGGTCAGAGTCTGTTACCCAATCAGAAACCATTCCACTGGGAGCTTAACTCAAGAACATGGCTGTTCCTCCAGCCACAGGTCACATGACTCCACCACAGATTATGAACTGAATCACACCTGCTTCCTGACTTCACTGATGATTCTCCCAGTCTGATGGGAGATGCACAAGTCAGCAGAAAACAACAGATGGGCTGGAGGAAAGGAATAGGGAATAACGCTCACTGGGGATGGTTTGCGGGAAAGTAGGGCGTATAGAGCTCAGGCCTGGAAGGTACCCATCAAGCAGAGATGAAGGCTGTTGGGGGAGCAAGAAGCAGGCGCCCCAAGGGAGCAAAGTAAGCATCTGAACACACACAGGCCTCTGTTCCCACCTGCATGTGGGCTTGTGTCCTAGCACAGGCAGGCCCCACTTTGTCCTCACACCTACCTCTCAGTGGTCAGGTCAGATTCTCACAGCCCCTCCCTCACCCCCAATCTGACACACGAGGGCACTGGAGAAGCTACTTCTCTCCAGAGTGGTGAAGGTGAGGCCAAGGCCCTATGGGAAGAAAGTACTTTTGCCTTCCCGTTCCAGGCCGGGTTTCTTCAGCAGAATCTTGAGGGTATTAAAAAAGACATAAAATGTCCACCCTGATAATCTCATTCAAGTGTCTGTAGCAAAGTCCCACCATCGCTAATGTTTACAATTCCCCAGCAGCTTCCAATGTGCAGCCAAAGTGGGGGCTCAGTAGCCCAGAGCATGTCTCCAGTGAGAGTTGCCCAGGGCTAGTAGTTGGCGGCTTCACTGAAGAACGCACACAGGATGGCCAGTGAGAGGGGAGGGGACAGCACAAAGGAAGCCCCTTTACCTCTTTTGTGAACACCAGAGCCGGGTGCCCCTGGAGGCGCTCCACTCAGCATTGCATGGTGGAAACTTCTGCTTCTCTTTCATTTCCTGTTCACTTGCCTCCAAGCCTTTGATGATCATGGCTTCTACCAGGGTCAGTGCTGGGGTCGGGAGCCCATCTGCTCCGTAGAACCTGCCAACCACCTTTCCTATGGTGACAGGAAAGTTGATGTCAGCGTAACCGTGAGGGAGGCACGAACAGATGCTTAGTTTCCTTGTAAGCAGTTACAGTGAAGTTCAAGTTCCCAAGGTTTCTATACCCCACCCACCTCAGGCTCTCCAATAGCCTGTGGGTGCCTTACAATAGAGGGATGTCTGATGGGGGCCTTCTGTTTCAAACTCCCTCAGCATCTTACAAGATCCTAGACAGAAGCAACCCTGTTCTAGCTATGGAGTCCTCCAGTGCAGAAACACCATCCACACGTCAGTGTCCTGGGGGTGGAGCCAAGAGTATCTCACTCCACAGGGCTCTATGGTGCACGGGGCCACGCACAGTGCCTATTCAATCAATGTTTGATGAGTGAATGGCTCGTTAACTAACTTTTGTTTTTATTGTGAATTGAGTGATAGTTCACATGGGGGAACATCAGTTTTACACTCATCCTGTCGTATTCGTTTCATTGTGGTGATTACAATCCCCTGCATGTGTCATCATTTAACAGGTGTGCACCAAAACAGGAATATACAGTCAATCAAACAGCCAAAGGGCACAACCTGCAAGTCTGCCTGCGTCGGCCACCAGCACACACCCCTCTCCTTCCATAAGTCTAGAGTCCTTAGCTGCTCCGTCTCTCCACGTCATCATCTCTGCCTCCATCTCTGGTGTTGCTGCTTCTCTGGGTAGGCTGACAAACATTTTTGTGACTCAATTCTTCCCAACCTCAAAGGATTTTGTCTTCTCTAATGATAAATAAGCCACTTACTGAGCATTTGCTGTGCCAGGCACTCTGATCACTTCGTATCAGTATTTTTAAATCCTCAAAACAATGCTATGACAGAGAAATCATTGTTCCCATGTTCATAGCAAAGACAGTGGGAGATTCAACAACTCAGGCGCGTTTATGAAGCTAATAATTGGTCAGACTCTAAGCCTATGCTCTTGCCTCCATCAGTCTCTTCAGGCTCAGACGAACGCTGGTGGCATTGTGGGTTGCTAACTTCAAGATCGGTGGTTCAAACCCTCCAGCTGCACCATGGGAGTTAAGACAAGGTTGTCTGCTCCCATAAAGGTTTATGGTCTTATGAACCCTATGGAGCAATTCTATTCAGCTGCATAGGATCACTAAGAGTTGGAATTAACTTGAGGGCAGTAGGTTTGCCTGCCATGGATTCTTGTCAGAATTTTTAAAGGTCTGAGCTATGGCAGCAGCCAGGAAGTGATCCACTGCCTACAGGCCAGAGCCAGAAAGGGATCAGTTCTCCTTTGGTGCAGGGACATTCATCTCCAGGCCTGAGGTACAACAGGCCTTCACAGGCAGTACCTGTCACAGGGCAAGAGCAGCTGCTGACAATACTTCTAGGGAGAATGGCCAAGTTGGAGGAGGCAGCTATATGCCAGCCCCCAGCACTATGGGTCCCAACTGCTACAGCCTCCCAAAACTGGCTTTACCTTTGACTCCAAAGGACACTTGGGTTCACTGTGTTCATTCTTGCACGTCCAAGTCCCTGTTCTGACTCTCCTGTTTCTGTTACCCCTGGCCTTACCTAGGGTAGGCGCCTTGGCTCTAACTCTTCCTCCTTCACATCTAACCCAACAGCAAATGAACAAATCTTGTCAGACCTGCCTCTAAAACATATCTGGATTCTGTCCATTCCTGTCTATGTCCACAGCTACCACCTGCAGCCAAACCACCGACTTACCAACCAGAGTCTCCAATTGCTCTCACTACCACTTCACTCATGCATCCTACAGTTCCTTCTCCGCAGAGTACCTAGTGATCTTTTTAAAACATATATCATCTCGTCACCTCTGTGCCTGCTTAAAACCCTCCAATGGTTTCCCTACAGCACTTGGATTAAAATACAAACTTCTTATCAAGGCCTAAATTATTGGACTTCTGTTTCCTTCTTCAACCTTTTCTTAAGTCATTGCCCTAGGCCCCATCCAGCACACTAGCTTCCTTCCTGTTCCCTGGCCATGTTCAGCGGCTCCCACCTCAGACACTGTTTCTTCCACCTTGATCAAGACTCTTTTCCCTGAATGGCTGGCTGTCCAGGCCACTCACTGTCTAGGCCTCAGTTGAAGTGTCATCTCCTCCAGGCTTCTCCTAACCATACACTCTGAAGGTGCCTTCACACACATTTAGTTTTATTTTCCATATAGTTCCTCTGGAATCATCTCGTCTTTTTGCTTGTTGATGATGTGACTCCTAACCCGTAAGGCCCAGCACTCAAAACAGCTTTGGTACAGGGTATTTATTTTAAATACTAAACACATAAATGACTAGACCAGCACCATAGTCACAGGCTTGCACAAGACATTCCAGTATACAGAAGCTCTGTATTGCATGGTGGCAAGCCTGCTTGATGAGTTTCAGACCAGAGATCTAAAGAGAGGATATAGAAAGAATTCTAGAAGCTGTGTCTTGAAAACAGTGGTCACCATTGGCTGGGTCTCTAAGCCAATGCTGTATCCAGAACACAACCAAAAAAACAGCTTGGTCCCCTTCAAGGCCTGGCTGGCCATGTGGCTGCCAAGATCGCTTCCTGGATGCCTTTACTTCGGTATGAACCCTTATTAATCGTCTTCTTTAGACATGTCTTGAGGGTTTCCCCTCCTACAGAATGAGCTAACAGACAGCAGGAACTATATCCAACTTATTCCTGACCCAATGAGGACCAGAACGATATGTTGTGTGAAGTGCCGTCGAGTCGATTCCGACCCATAGCAACCCTGTATAGGGTTTCCAAGGAGTAAGTAGCTGGTGAGTTTGAACCTCTGACCTTGCAGTTCAATGACTTTGCAGTGTGACGCATTAGCCCACAGTGCCACACCAGTAGATAGTCAAATATATTCTGACTAGTTAAAATCCTCCTGAGGTGTAAACAGAAAGGCACAAACCGTCGATGTTATGAAAAAATGTCTGGTCCGCTTGGATAAGAAGGGAGCAGAGCGGTCACTAAGCATTCAAAGATTCTCAGAAACAGGAACTCAAGTCATAATGACAGAAGAGACATTCAGAGGAGCTAGGAGAAGAGACAGGGAACTCTTCAAGTTTAGAAGGTTTCCAACAGGGAAGGGACACTGATGTCCCACAAGGAGCGGGGCTCCTGGGAAGGTCAGAGCTGGGACAGATGGAGAAAAGGGCCCAGCCATCCCAGCTTTCTGTGTTCGCATAGCAAGCTAGTGTTCTGTACCGTTAACGTTTCTCTAGGACAGCATTAGACATCTCCCATTTCAAAGTGAGTTCCTCATGTCTTACCTACCAATAATTAGCAAACATGGTGTCCCACACAGCTGGCTTTACCAATGTTGGATTAACATCACCATCTTCCATCTGGGAGACAATTCATTGAGGATGTGCACAGGTTATTAATTGTCTCCTTGAGGACAAAATCAAAGGAAATTTGTCAAAACTGCACTCAAATTTAGATTTGAGTCCTTCATGGTCGTGTGGTGAAGCCAGGTGAGGCAGATTGGCTCAACGTGAGAAAGGGAAGCTGGAGACTCACATGGGGCACCAACAACCACTGACTTTGGGACAAACAAGCCTGCAGTCCTCTACTGAGAGGAAAGTGAGGGAAACAAGTGTCCCAGCCACCACCTTCTGAGACTCACTGCAACACCAATGACCAGAGTTTATGGGGAAAAGTTCTGGGCTATTTTTTCAGATGTCAACCTTGAGCCCAATATGCAAAGATTTCCAGGCACTTAAAACAAATTGCACGATGAACAAATGACATATATATGGGACGATCTGTGACTACTTACCAACGAATTCATAATTCTTCTCATAGAATGAAAGCCAGTTTTGAAGCGTCAGCATATCAGAATACGACAAGCCAGACACATCATCCACAAGACCTGCTTCAGAGTAGTCCCCGGTCACAAACGCTCTGGATGCATCTCGGCCTGGAGGAGAGAAGTTCCCAATGAATTAGGTGGTAAACCACAGGCAAGGTACCACTCACAGATCTCTTTCTTGGGAAACATTTCCTAAAAACCTCCATCTCCACCCTCAGACAGAGTGAATCATCTGTGACAGACACTCCTGGATCCTGGACACATGTTTTTAGCAACTGTCACCTTTACCACTTTACTTTCAGCAACTTGGAACACAGCTGATCACTTCCCCAATTTCTAGGGCACAATCCTCTCAGTTCCCCTGCTACCTCACTAGCGCTTCCTTTTCTACCAGCCTCAGAGGTCAAGTAGTGGTCACCTGTTCTGCTCTGGATCAGGAGCCCTGGTGGGCACAATAGTTAAGCGCTCAGCTTCTAATCAAAAGGTCATCAGTTCCAACCTATCAGCTGCTCCCTGGGAGAAAGACGTGGCACTTTGCTTCTGTAAATACCTAGAGTCTGGAAAATCCTCTGGGGGCAGTTCTACCCTGTTTTATAGGGCAATCAACTCGACGGCAGTAGCACTGGTTTTGATATTTCATCCACACCCTTCTCACTTAACAATCCCATCTACTCCCACGGTTTCTAATACTTTCCTACAGCAAAACTTGTCAAACTTGTACCTTTAGCTATGACTTTTCTGGAGCTCTAGTCCTGTGTATTTATTTGTCTACTCAATATCACTTAGTACCATCAAGTTGGTTCCAACGTAAAGCAACCCTGTACAGGGTTTACAGGAGGCTCCCAGATGTCTTACTGTTGTTGTTACGTGCCTTGGAGTTGATTCCGACCCATAGCGACTCTGTTTAAGGTTTCTGAGGAGCAGCTGGTGGGCTTGAACTGCTAGCCTTGCTACTGAAAACGACTTTAAAGTCCAGCGCATTAACCTACAGCACCACCCCAGGACTCCAGATGTCTTGTAGATTTCACAATTTCACAACCTTCTCACTGAATGAATGTGAGTCCAGCCCCAGGAAACCAGCACCTACTCTAACATTCTCTCAGTATTACCACTGCTATTAGCAATACGTCATCCAGTTGCACAATCCAGAAAAACTGTCCTTGATGGCACCTTCATTCCCCAATCCCTTTTTCTTCCTCCATAGTTCTTAAGTCAGTCTCCCCTTCTCCACCTTTTCTACCGTAGCCAAGCATTGAGAATACAAACAGCAAAAATATACATCGATTCAACTCTACGTGGCCAACACGGCAACACTGACTGCAGCCTTCCAGTTGTGCAGTCATGGTCCCCTTAGACTGATACTTTAAACACAACTAGATCATGTCATTCCCCTACTCAAAAATCCCCAGTGGCGCTTCCTCTTTTGGGCTATTGTAATGGTCTCATGCCTTCCCAGGTAACTGGGCTTCCTGCAGAAGGCTCGCCATGCCCCTTTCCTCCGGGTACACTGTTCCAGCCAGGCCTGACTTCCTTAGTGACTCCTACTGTGCAGCTCCTCATGGCAAGGGCCTTGCACATGCTGTTTTCAATGCCCTCACCTCTTCACCGAGCCCTGGGAGCATAGTGGTCACACGTTGGAGTGCTGACTTCAAGGTCACCAGTTTGAATCTACCAGCCACTCTGCAGGATAAAGATGAGGCTTTTTGCTCCTGTAAAGATTTACTGCCTCTGAAACCCATACCGGGTTGCTTTGAGTCGAAACCAACTCCAGGCACACCACTTCCTTTTTGCCTGTCTACCCTTCACTCATCCTCCAGCATCTTCAGGACAGCTTTCTCAAAGAAGCCCCCTCTCCAGCCCTCCCTCCCTACTACTAAACCAGAGGCTCTCGCAATCAGCAGCACTTTTTCCTTCTAACACTCATTGTGTCTGTATGGTCACTACTTAATGTCCGTCTTTTCTACTAGTTTGTAAGTTTTATCAGGGTAGAGAGCACACCAAACTCATCTAATGTTGAACTGCCAGTGTCGGGTATGGTGCCAAACAGATACTGATTGCTTGAAACACATACTTCAGTAGTCTTTCAGCACATAGTGCTGAGACAACATGGATGTGGTGGCTGTTGTCCTTAAATGTTGTCAAGTCGGTTCAGACTCATAGATACCCTGTGTAGGGTTTCCAAGGAGTGGCTAGTGAGTTTGAACTACCGACCTTGCAGTCCAGTGTTTATTATACAGCGCCAAACCAAGACTCTGGGATAACGAACAGCCATATGCAAGAGAATGAAACTGAATCTGTTATCTCTCTCACTGTATCAAAAAGTAGCTAAAAAAATAGGTTGATGACAGGTTTACTGATCAGAAAGAGAAAGGAGGAACCTGAAACTGTGGCCCTCTACCATCCTCCTGGCCTAATTTTCAGCCCAGCAGTAGGTGAGGACCGTAGTGGTTATGAGTCGGGCTGCTAATCTCACGGTCAGCAGTTCAAAACTACAAGTGGTTCCACGGGAAAGAGATGAGGCTTTCTGCTCCTGTAAAGATTTACAGCCTTGGAAACAACTATGAGTTGTAACCAACTCCATGGCACACAGCCACCACCACCAGTAGCTAAATATATAGTGGGGACATTAGTAAGGTATGCTCACCATGAACCGTCAATCATTTAAGACCAAAAGTACGACATTTACCTAGGACAAAATTCAAAAGGGTTGAGAAGGAGGGTGGAATGGAAATAGGCACCCCAGGGAGGAAGTGGTTAACAGTTGCTACATGGAGGGGACTGCCTTTATTGAAATGAAACAAAGTGTATGATTTGCTGAATGTAAAACTAATGATCTATTCTGTAATCTTCACTCCATTCACAATAAAGAGCAAAAAAAAATGTTTAAAATAGGTCAACGACCTTAATTTATGAATTAAACTATAAAACTCACAGAAGAAAACTTAGGTATAAGTCTTTGTGACCTTGGATTAGGCAATGATTTTATAGATATGACACCAAAAACATAAGCAACCACAGGAGAAAATAGATCAATTAGACTTCATCAAAAGTAAATACTTTGTGCCTCAAAGGACAGTAGAAAGTATACACAACTCACAGAGTGGGAGAAATTATTTGCAAATCATATATCTGATACGGGCTTGGTATCTCGAATACACACAAGACTCTTACAATCAAACAATTAAAAAACAAACACCATTTAAAAACAGACAGAGAACCTGAATAGTATTTCAGAGACACAGAAATAGTAGTAAGTACATGAAAGGCTGTTCACATCATGAGTTAGTAGAGAGATGCAAACAGTCAAACTATAATAAGATACTAATAGTGATTCTATGGAGCCGTGGTGTGCTGCTGTAGGATAAGCACTGGACTGCTAACCACAAGGCTGGTGGTTCAAACCCACCACATACTCCTTGGAAACCCTATGCAGATCCAGTAAGAGTCAGCACCAACAAAACAGCATTCAACAACGTCACCCTAGTGACTCTGCAGGGCAGAGTAGAAATGCCTCACAGAGTTTTGAAGGCTATGAATTGTCACAGATGCAGACCACCACATTCTTCACAAGGGCTCCTTTCTAAAAACCTAGACAATAATAAACATTGAAGAAAATATGGATATGGAAAAAAATAATACAGCTGTTTACTAACTGGAATTCAGTTTGTCACTTTCTGAAAAAACAAGTGTTATCACATGACCCAGTAATTCCACTGCTAGGTATATACCCAAGATAACTGAAAACAAAACATACATGCACAAAAACTTATAAATCAATGTTCACAGCAGCATTATTCATAATAGCCCTAAACTGGAAACAGCCCAAGTGCCCATCAGCTAAAGAATGAGCTAAACAAAATGTGGCAGGCAGATCTACATAATGGAGTATTTCTTCACCACAAAAAAGAATGTTAATTCACGGATGAAGCTTGAAAACAATGCTAAGCGGAAGAAGGCAGACAAAAAGCCACAATATGATTCCATTTCTACGAAATGCCCAGAACAGGCAGCTCTGTAGAAAAAGTACCTTCGTTGAGTTCCTAGGGACTTGGAGGGAGGATGGAAAGTGAGTACTAATGGTAGTGTTGCTTCTGAGGTCATGGAAACGTCCTGGAGTTGGACTGTGGTGACGTTTGCACAATTGTCTTAAATGCCACTGAGTCAGTTCCAACTGAAAGCTCCCCTTATATAGGGTTTTAGAGGCGCAGCTGGTGAGTTTGCACTGTTGACCTTGTGGTTAGTGGTCCAGTGCTTATCTTACAGTGCCACGGCAGGAGTCCTGACTATACTAATAATGAAAAATGAACTGTACACTTTTGCACTGTTGACCTTGTGGTTAGTGGTCCAGTGCTTATCTTACAGTGCCACGGCAGGAGTCCTGACTATACTAATAATGAAAAATGAACTGTACACTTTTGAAGGGTGAATTTTGTTGCTTGAATTATATCTGTATTAATTAATAATAAAAATATTGAATGAACAAATGAATGCTTCCCTACTAGAATGTGAGCAGTTGGGAGCATGATATGGATATCTGATTCCCAGCACCTGGTGGCATAAGACAGGCCACATGGTAAGGCTGTCCTCAGTCCATTCCAACACACAGTGACTCCAGGTGTGTCAGATAGAACTGTGATCCACAGGGTTTTCAACAGTTGATTCTCCCCCTCCCCCTTCACCCTCCAGAAATACATCACCAGATCTTTCTTCTTCAGTACCTCTGGGTGGCCTTGAGGCTCCAACTTTTCAGTCAGCAGCCAAGTGCGCTAAACATTTATACCACTCAGGGACTCTAGTCACATAAAGGTACCAAAAAACCAAACTTACTGCCATCAAGTCACAGCAACCCTATGTCTTTACCAAAGCAGACAACCTCATCTTTCTCCTGAGGAGCACGCAGCTGGTGGGTTCAAACACCCAACAGAACCAAACACTGCCTGACTCTGTGCTAGCCTCGGAATTGTCATGTTTGAGCCCACTGCTGCAGCCACTGTTTCAATCCTTCTTGTTGGGGTCTTCCCCTCTTATACTGACCCTCCACTTTTCCAAGCATGATGGCCTTCTCCAGGGATTGGTTCTTCCTGACATGTCCAAAGATGAGACAAAGTCTTGCTATCCTCACCTCTAAAAAGCATTCTGGTTGTATTTCTTCTAAGACAGATTTATCTGTTCTTTTGTCAGACTACAGTACTTTCATTATTCACCTGTGCCATACCTCAAAGGCATCAATTCCTCTATGGTCTTCCTTATTCATTGTCCAGATTTCCCGTTCTTATGAGGTGACTGAAAATACCATGACTTGGGTCAGGTGCACCTTAGTCCTCAAACTGATCTCTTTGCTGTTTAATACTTTAAAGAGACATTTTGCAGATTTACCTAATGCAGTATGTTTTTTTGATTTCTTGACTGCTGCTTCCATGAGTGTTGATTGTGGATTCAAGTAAAAGGAAATTTTTGACAGCTGGAATCGTTTTCTCCATTTATCATGTTATTTATTGATCCAGTTGTGAGGAATTTGGTTTCTTTAAATGGCGGTGCAATCCATACTAAAGGTTGTGGTCTTCGGTCTTCATCAGTAACTACTTCAAATCCGCTATGGTTCCTGAAAGCAAGGCTGTGTCTTTTGCCTATCACAGGTTGTTACTGAGTCTTCCTCTAATCCTGATGCCCAGTTCTTCTTCATATAATACAGCAGCTCAGATTACTTGCTCAGCACACTAATTAGACCCTGAATGAATCTGGGCACATAAAAACTCAATACACAGAACAGCACCCCCAAAACGAAAGCCACACTAACAGTCAGAATAGCTGAGTCACCATCTAGCAGGATAGTTGTGAAGTGCCATTGAGTCTGCTGCAATTCATAATGACCTTGTATACAGTTTCTGCTGAGTAGCTGGTGAGTTTGAACTGCTGACTTTGTGGTTCAAACCGACCTTGCTATCTAGTGCTTATCAACAGTGTTGTTGTTGTTATGTGCCGTGGAGTCGGTTCTCACTCACAGCGACCCTGTCAGGGTTTCTGAGGCTGTCAAACTTTACGAGAGCAGGAAGCCTCATCTTTCTCCTGCGGAACAGCTGGTAGTTTCGAACTGATGACCCTGAGGTTAGCAGTCCGATTCATAACCACTGTGCTACCAGAAAAGTGCCCACAATGGGCAGGTCAGTCTCAGTTATGCTTCTAACTCTGTCATTGAGTCAATCCATGTGCTTAAAATCCAGAGATCATCAGGCCTGCTTTCCAAGGGTTCGAACTGCTAACCTTTCAGTAGTAGTCAAATGTTTAGCTGTTTGCCCTGGATGCTGTTGCTATTAAATGCCAGAGTCAGTTCCAACTCACAGTGACCCTATATAGTGTTTCAAGGAGCAGCTGGTGGGTCTGAACCACCAACCTTGTAGTTAGCATTCCTGTGCTTATCCTACAGCTCAGTCTTTAACCCCTGAAGAACTGTTTGAGGAGTTTGGCAATACCACCTGGATTTATAAACTCTTTCTGTCAATGCTTTTATTTCCAAAGTTCTCTCTGGAGAGAGGTAAATGATTTGTATTTAAGCCCCTTCGATAGAGATCAGTGAAAAATGCATTATTTAACACTCTGGTAGCTGCTACCCTTAGGGTTAACAGTTTGAAACTACCAGTAGTTCCACTGGACAAAGATGAGGCTTTCTGCTCCCGTAAAGATTTACAGCCTCGGAAACCCTATGCAGAGTCACTATGAGTCGGCACCGACTCCACCGCACATCACCACCAACCACCGCAGTGACTGGCCCAGGAGTCGGTGTGGGCCTACAGGATAAAGCACATCGCAGTTTGCTGCCTTAAAGATTACAGCCTCAGAATCGCTATGAAGCAGTTCTGCTCTGTCATATAAAGTCACTGAGTCAAATCCACTCAGGACGTTCGTTTTTTGTTTTTTCTTTAAATGAGCATAAATCTCGCACACAGCAGGTACCCGGGGCTTCTGATCATCAAGGAAGGGTGTTTAATAATTGGCAGAAATCAAGCTGGGCGGTGGGAAATGAAAAATAGGGTAGACAATGTAACAGTTGGCCACAGTTCCCCCGAAGCTAGACCCCGAGGCGCTAGTCTAATGAATGGGTGTTGTTGTTGATGTGCCGTCGAGTTGGTTCCGACCCACAGCGACCCAGTATAGGGTTTCCGAGGCGCGGCTGGTGAGCTTGAACCGCCGACCTTGCAGTTCAAACGACTTTGCAGTTTGGCGCATTAACCCACAGTGCCACACCAGGACCCCGATGAGTGGGTTGTTGTTGTCAGGTGCCACTGAGTCGGAATCGACTCTTAGCGACCCCATGCACAGCAGAACGGAACAATGTCCGATCCTGGGCCAACCTCACTACCGTTGCCACACTTGAACGGGTAGGGAGGAGAAAACAGCAGATGAATGAATGAATGCATGAATGAATAAACGAAATAACAAAAGAGGTACAGACAGCGACTGTCCTGCGCAGAAGCAGGAATGGCACAGCCGCCTCATTGATTGATACCTGCGAAGCCGCTATAGTGGGCCCCAGGCTCGTAGTGTCTCCGGCCAGAGGACACATCGTAGACGCGGCCGAGCAACGCCAAATAGAGGCCCGGGTCCCCTGGGCCGCCGCGGTAGCAGGCCAGCTCCTCGGGTATGAAAAGGTGGAAGCCAGCGCGGGGACGCCACCAGCCCAGCAACCATGCTGCCACCATCGCCGCTGCCGCTATGGCCAAGCACAGGCAGAGCTCACGCCCGCAGAACCTCAGCATTTAGACAGTCGCAACCCCTCCCCCCACCACTTACGAAGTTGCCGCTTTTCTATCCAAACTAAGATGGCGGAGACATCGGCTATGACGTCACCAGCGCGACGTTCTCGCTTCCTTGTCCGCTATCACTAATGAGACAGCGGAGGACTGAAAATATGAAGTCTTTAGCGAGAAGTTCACCTCTGACTCCCACTCTTTCTAGCAAAACTTGTGGCAGTGGAGGAATTCAAAGAACGCGGGGCAGCGAAAGACCTTGCTTTCCAGGGTGTCTGCCTCCAACAAAAATGGCGACAATGGAAGCTGAAAGATGACGCTAACGTTATGACAGACACGCCCGCTTGGAAATCAGGGTTCCACCCCTTGCTGCAGATCTTCTTGCTTAGCTGTCGGTGGGCCTGTCGAATCCGCTTGACGGCGTCTTTGCGACAGCAGTGCTAACTTGACGACGAGGAAGCCGGAAGCCACCGCCGCCGCCGTGCTCCCCTCCCTGTCCCCGCCCGCGGGTGCCGTCGGAGGTTGACAGGTCGAGGCGGGGAGGCGGCGGCGGCGGCGGCGGCGGCAAAGCCGGTTGCCCAAGACGGAGTCCCCATGGGGAACGCTCCGAGTCACAGCAGTGAAGACGAAGCGACAGCCGCTGGCGGCGAATCCTGGAGCCCACACCAGGATTGGGCCGCGGACTCGGGCACAACCCCCGGCCCGGGCCCCGCGGCCCCTGCGCTACCGCTCGCCGCGGCGCTGCTGGAACCGGCCCGGCTACGAGAGGCGGCGGCTGCGCTGCGGCCCATGCCACCCTGCGAGTCGCTGGTGTCGAGGCACCACGGCGCGCTGTTGCGCTGGTTGGAAGAGCGGCTGGGCCGCGGCGAAGAGTCCGTCACTCTGGAGCAGTTTCGGGAGCTGCTGGAGGCTCGCGGCGCCGGCTGCTCTGGCGAGCAGTTCGAAGAGGTCAGGGCGGGCTGGCGATTGCGGGGGTGGGAGCAGGACATCCGCCCTCTAGGGCGTGAAGAGAGGTGGGCAGGAGCTTTGGAAAAGCCAAGCTGAAACCCACAGGGTCTGAGGAGCCAAGAGTGGAAGCATTGGGGTGCCAGGACTCACGTGGGGCGCTTGCTCTATCTTTTTCTAACCTTTATTAGATTTATGGAAAGGCCAGACTAGGCCGTCCTTGATCTTAAGAACTGGCCAAGCCCAGATGTCTTTGCATGTTGTGGTATAGCCAGTCATTTGTATCGTTGGCTGACGCTGGATCCGTGCTCAGAGCTTCTGTATCCGAGTTCAGAGCAATTCTAGGACTCAAGGCGTGGTACTGAAAACTACTCTGTTTTATTGGCCCTTCAAGTTTCGTAGAGCACCTTCCTAGTTCAATGCGAGCTCCTAAATATGGAAGGGGACTAACATACTGGAAAAGCACTCTAAAATTAGTCATTCTCATTACACGAAACAGAGCTTTTTGAAACACATTTGCTTTTAGGTCTTCAAAGAACCGTAAGAGGATTTTAGATTGGTTTAAACTACCATAAGGGAGCCCTGGTGACGTACTCTCGGCCACTAACCAAAACCACTAACCAAAAGATCGGTGGTTCGAGTACACCAATTGCCCTAAGGGAGAACAATGTGACTGTTAGTTTCTGCAAAGATTTACAGAACCCTATGGAGCTCTGGTAGCATAGTGGTTACGAGTCGAGCTGCCAACTTCAAGGTCACTAGTTCGAAACTACCAGCGGTTCTGCGGGAGAAAGATGAGGCGCTCCCGTAAAGATTTACAGCCTTAGAAACCCTGTGCAGGGTCACTGTGAGTCAGAACCGACTCCAGGGTACTTACCAACAAGAAACAACATGGGCTTCTATGGAGTCCTGGTGTGGCGCCGGACTGCAAAACCGTTTGAACTGCAAGGTTGTTGGGTCAAGCTCTCCAGCTGCTCCTCGGAAACGCTATGCAGGGTCGCTATGGGTCGGAACCGACTTGACGGCACATAACAACATGGTGTTCTACAGGATCCCTGTGAGTCGGAATGGACTGCAGGACAGTGGATTTGGTTTGGAAACCACTATAGTGGAGGCCTGGTTTGGCGCTTTAGGACAGGCACTCTACCTCAAGGTCGGTTTGAATCGAAATGTCAGCGGTTCAAACTCACCAGCTGGTCCTCGGAAACCCTATACAGGGTCACTATGATTTGGAACCAACTGACTCTACAGCACTTAACATAGTGGAATCCTAGAGTCCTGGTGTGGCACTGTAGGATAAGCACTGGACTGCTAACTACAGGTGGGTGGATTAAACCCACCAGCTTCTCCTTAGAAACCCTCTACAGGATTGCTGAGTCAGAACTGCATTGATGAAGCTTGACACATAATCCCTAAATGAGCGCTGTCTGGACTTTGAACCATAGGATAGACAGCTTGAGTCCATCAGCCTCTCCATAGGAGAAAGATGAGGCTTTCTGCATCCGCAAAGATTGAGTTCCTCAGAAACCCTATACAGGGTTGCTATGAGTCAGAACCCAGTAAAGGGCAATTAACAACAACATAGGCCCTGAAATTGATAGGGAAATACTAACATCCATTTTTACTAAATCATTAACAGTAAATTGATTTGGTACCAAATTGTTATCAATAGGAATTGTTTGTACTGAATGCTTCATTTTACACATGTTGTTGTTGTTAAGTGCCATTGAGTCCATTCCGACCCATAGCCACCCAGTATAGGGTTTCCAAGGGGCAGCTGGTGAGCTTGTACCACCAACCTTGCAGTTCAAATGGCTTTTCAGTCTGACACATTAATCCACAGCGCCACACCAGGACTCCATAGGAAGAGACTTATCCAGTCACCCAGAATTGTTGGCATAACTGAGTTTATTGCCCAATCTCTTGATTTTTTTTTTTTTTTAAATAATTCCACTACCTTCAGCCTAGGAAACCCAGTGGGACACTCCTGTTCTTGAAGGTCGCTGTGAGTTGGAATCAACTTGAGGACACACAACACAGCATTCCTCCTTGGAATTTTTTGTTGTTCTTAATTTCATGGTATTATAACCAAAAAACTAAAAAGAATCTTAAAAACATCTATATTTATGCAATTGAGTAAGCCACGTAGAATCTCTCTAGTGAGTCTATAAAGCAGTAAGCTGACAGATACTTATAGTACTATTAAAAAGTATTGTGCAGTTTAAAAGTAGAGGCTTTCACAATATTTTAAGAATTTTTTCTGTACATGGTCAGAATCCAAATAATGTAGTTTGTATGTTTTTCATGTTTTCCCTTAAAAATGTCTTTTGGGTATCTTGCCTCATGAATATTGGTTATATAGTACATATATATGTGTTCTATTCTGGCACCCAGGTATACTGTGATAATATGAAAATAGCAAGTGGTAGGGCAGATAGTGGCATGCAGAGCTGCTCGACATTTCAGAATCATCCAAAGACTAATGGAGAGAAACAGTGGTTGCATTGTGAGTGTGTCTGCCAGGAATAGAGCTCTAAGTAGAGTGTCAGCTAGCCCTGTAATGGAAGTCCAAGAAGTCTTTGAGGCATGGTCCAGAAATCACTCCAGGGCTATGGCATTCTTTTGTTCTTTGAGTAAATATTTCTTGGGCACATACTGATTGCCCAAAAGTTGGATGACCGTGGCTACTTGCTCTTCACAAGTATGTAATATGTGGAAGAGATAGACCTTAATATAGTAGCTATAGATATGGTGAGTGCTACCCCAGGAAAAGTGTAAGGAATAAATAGCAGGAGTAGTTAACCTCATCTCAGGAGTCCTGGGTGGCATTGAAGGATCAGCACTATACTGCGAACCACAAGTTTGGCAGTTCAAACCCACCAGCTGTTCCTCTGAAATCCTATACAGAGTTGCTATGAATCAAAACAGATTTGATGGCACTTAATGACAATGAGTCAAGGCCAACAGTTCAAATCCAAAATTCACTACTGCTCTGTGGGAGAAAGATGAAGCTTTCTGCTTGCATAAAAATTGACAGCCTCGGAAACCCTATACAGGGTTGCTTTGAGTTGGAATCGACTCAATGACATTGGGGAAAGAAGCCAAGGAAGTGTTTGGCTACTAACTGAAAAGCTAATGGCTCAAATCTACTCAGAGGTGCCTTGGAAGAAAGACCTGGCAATCTACTTCTGAAAGATCACAGCCACCGAAAACCCTATGGAGCCAAGTTTTACTGTGATGCATAGGATCACCATGAGTTGGAATCAACTAGACAGCAACTGTTTTTGTGGTTTAGGGAGTCAATGAAGCCTTCACCATTTTAGCTCCGATTTGAAGGGTGAAGGTTCGACGACAAAGTGGTGTTCCGGGCAGAGAGAATCACACAAAGGTCATACACACAGAGACTGGAGACTCTGGAATAGGTCCTTGTGAGGGTTAGACAAAACTGCCTGAAGGAACAGAAAATCCAGTGTATCGGGATTTCAACAAACTGCTCATTTCTTTTTCATGGAAAAATCCAGGTAGACAGTTGAGGATTAATAAGACCCTTTCCTAATCCCCAGGGACCTGGGCTCCATCTAGCTTGTGCTGCCATCCTCCACAGGCACTTTGCATTAGCTGTCCAAATGACTGTTCCAGCCGTCACATTCTGACCCATAAGAAAAGGGTTCTTAAGGACATGACTTACACCTGTTGGCCTGACCTTAGTCACATGGCCACACTTAGTTGCAAGGGAGACAGGGAAAGATCTTTATTCCATGCCCATGTAGAGAGCTACAAATTGGAATTTAATAACTAAGAAAGAGGAGATTAGGTACAAAAACAAAAAAATCATTGTCATCGTGTCCCTTCTGACGCATAGTGACCCTATTGGCTAGAGTCGAACTGCCCCTCAGGGTTTCTAAAACACATCTGTATAGAAGCAGACTGGCACATCTTTCTATTGGAGTGGTCAGAGTTCAAACTGCCAGCTTTTCTGTTGGCAGCTGAGTGCTCTAACCATTTACCACTGGGATTCCTCTAGGAGAAGAGATACTGGGTCATCAGTCTTGATTCACATGGCAGGATCATGGACTGTAGAAGAGAGAGGGGACAGAAGTCTACAGGGAGCACATCATGAGTCCTTTGTCACCTGTGCTAAGGAGTTTGAAACAGTGGAGTGTTAAGCTAAGTACCATGATGATTCTGGCTAACTTGTAAAGAGTTCAGGGAGAGTAGCCAGAGTGGACCCAAGGAGACCAGATAAAAGGCTGTGTGGCAGTCTGGGTAAGAGATTCAGTGGCTTGGGCTAGAATGGTGTCAGTGAAAGTGACATGAAGTGGACAAATTTTAGAGCTACTTAAGCGGTAGAATTAGCAGTCCTTGGAGACTTACTACAGGATTCCTGCTAGCATGAGTTACATGTTGAGGTACTAACCACAAGTTCAGCAGTTCAAATCCACCAACTGTTCAGGGGAGAAAGAGGGCGCTTTGTGCTCCCATAAAGATTTACAGCCTCGGAAACCTTACATAGGGTTATTTTGAGTCTGAATCGACTCCCTGGCAGTGGGTTTTAGTGGGTGACTTATTGGATGTAGGTAAAGGATTAGGAGGAGAAAGAAACGAAGGATGGCTCTCAAATTTCTGATTGGAGCGATTAGAAGAATCATGGTGTTGTTTATTGAGAAAGGGAGCTGTCTTAGTTCTCTAGTGCTGCTGTAGCAGAATTAGCACCAATGGATGGCTTTAACAAACAGATTGATTCTCACAGTTTGAGTAGCTAAAAGTCCAGATTCAGAGTGCCAGTTTTGGATAGAGGTCCTTGTCTCCCTTCAGCCTTTGTAGGCCCAGCATTCTTTAGAGGTCTCCATGTATCTTGGCATCAATTGTCCCCTGGGTCTAGGAGCTTCACAGTGCAGGGGACCCAGTCCAAAGGTCACGCGCCACATCTGGCTCTTCCTTCTTGGTGGCCCTAGGTCCCTCTGTCTCTGCTCACTTCTCCTTTTATCTCTGAAAAGAGATTG